TGATTTTGAAGAAGTACAAGATTGACATATGAAACTTGTCGAAGAGACCCGTCTTGTGTGAGATTAGACTTGGGATGTTTGTTGCATTTTAAATAGGATACTAAAAAAGTTAAAGGGATACTGTAGTGCCAGGAATACAAAGCTTCGCTCCCCTTGCTTTCACCCTCCCTTGCGCCCCTCCCCGGTAAATAAAAAGTTAAAACCATTTATTTACTTACCTGATCCCAGAGCTGATGTTCCTCCGCCTCCTCCAACCTCCCAGGCTCTATTGTATATTGCGCGGCAAATGCTGCACACATTAGACCTCCTCATAGTAAAGCATTGAATCATGCAGAGCGTGAGGAAGTCCAGCGTCAGATACCGGATCAAAGGTCCGTTTCAATTCAGGAAAGCCCTCTAGAGGCTGTCTGCTAGACAGCCACTAGAGGCAGACTTAGAGCTGCAATATAAACATTGCATTTCTATGGAACTGCAATGTTTAAGTGCAATAGGGACACTGTACCCAGACCACTTCAATTAGCTGAAGTGGTGTGGGTGCCTACAGTGTCCTTTTAACAGAGTATTTTGCAGTCAACTCATCTAGTTACCCTCTCTATGTGTCAGGGCAGCAAGCCTCATGGTTAATGGTTAACTAGCTATTGGACTGTAAAAAAAAAAAACCCAGAGAAGTGACAGATTGAAAAGCAGCTCTGTTATTGTGTCACTTTATAGTTCAGAAAGTAAATTAAACCAAAAGATTAGGGGAAAATGGGAGCAGCTGACAGTGAGTGCAGGGTGCCCTATGTTTCATATAATGTGTAATTATGCAAAGTTGTGATGGTGCTTAGAATGACCATGTGAGGTTAAAAACGAAGCTAGTTTGTCATATTTAATGGGGTTTTTTTGCAGCCTGGATGTTATTTTACTAATGACGCCCCGCCATCACTGGATTGTTTGCACTGATGTGTGCTAGTTACTTTACGTTGCCCTTATATGCGAGAGCGTATCAAACCCAACTATTCACAATTTTCAGCACATTCATCTATGGAATATTAGTGAAAGACTCCCAATTTCTATTCTATTCCAAACACCATAAACACTACAGCACATTAGTGGTTATGGTACCAGGAGGACCCAAGCTCCATCCCAGTATTAAGAGTCAAATCTCTTCACAGATTTCACTAAAGATTCTTCCCGTAGCATCACAGCAATGATGGGGTCTAATGCGCATGCGTAGCACAATAATTGCTTTCCTACGTGGAATTTGGAGATGTTAGACGCCCTTATGAAAAGCCTGAGGACATCCTACGTCATTTCACGGAGTAAAACTCTGTTAGGAAGCTGACGTGGTTAACAATACCACTTATGTTCATCATTAGATGGAATTAATTGTCTGAGAGTTTCTGCCAATGAATCCTGTCCAAAGTTTGACAAATTATATATTGCTTTGGAGATATGTGTGAAGAGGGACTGGACCACAAGTGCCATGATGATCAACCGTCTTAAAATGGTTAGACTCTCAGCAGTGGGACTGCGCCATGGGACTCCTGGGACTATAACTAATACAGCATGCTATTAATATTGCCCCTTCACGCTAGTGTTCAATTATAATGCATTCTAGCGTTCCCTGGCTCATCCAGGACGTGGGGAAGCGTCACAAGATACTACGTCACGCAAATAATGCTATCTGTGGCTCAAAGTCAAATGATGGATGGATTGTGGGTGAAAAAAAAAAAAACTGAACCTCATTTAATCTCTACCTGTTAATGTTTGCCCATAAATCTTGCTTTACGCAAGCAAACACAGTCCCGACTATTTTGTATTTTTTTTAATTAGAACATTAAAAAAAAAAAAGATTTTGTGTAATAAGAAATTCGGGGGAAAATGTGTGGAACATTCCAGGATAAGGATAATACTGTATTAAAATATATGAAAAGCACAAAAGTGACAGGGTTTCTTTAACAGGTAAATGTACATTGCTTTTAACAGACAAGAATGTTGATTTGTCCAACCATTTATATTCAAAAGCCATTATGGTAGGTTGTTTATTTTGTATGCCTGGTTGCCTTGGTATAATTACTATTAATGTATTTAATCCCAGTGTTGTTGGGCTGAAAAAAGAGCAATGTTTGCAAATTTTTCCAACAAGGCTATCTTGACCTATAATTAGCATTTCACTTTGTCAATTAGCAGTTTAGTTAATAACTCTGACAGTGTAACTATGTCCACTAAAAAAAACCAGCCATATGGGACTATCCATAGCATTCCCTCCCTTCTCAGGCTGTGCGCATGTAAAATAGCAAAACGAGGTTAATGGGAACAGCTCTGCAAAATCCAGGCTAAAATAAGCGAGCTGTGACCATACCGGGCTAGAGAATTTTTCTAAATCTGCTGTTTTTGCCTTAATTTTGCAGTTTCAATTTATTGTAATTCACTGTTTAGTGATTAAACCCAATAGTAGCACACATTGTACATTCAGAATTCACATGGGGACAGAAACGTGTTTGTCAGCTATCCTGCTTACTCTGTATGCTCAGGACAGGATTTCAGAGCCAGCCATTTGTCAACAAGACTTTGGTCGTATTACAACACCAGCTAATTAATGAATAGGCGAGATGTCCCTGCGCTCACATTATAGACCAGAGCTGTCAGCATCACAAGACAAACAATACCTTGCACTACAAAATGCTGAACAATGCAAATAGTCCCCGGGGTAAAATCCCTTTATATATGCAGCCATCGGTGAGAAATTCTCTATGGACTGTAAAAGTGTTTGTTATTTTAGTATTTTGTATTAATTCACATGGTTATTGCACATAACATTATAACAATATGCGTTAGAGTTGATTTTAAATAGATATTAGAATGTGATGGTTCATGTTTATCAATTTTATGTTGGTTCAAAATGGCTGCCAGAAGCCAACCTATGCAGATGCTAATCGCTGCTACCTGGGTAAGGATATTGAACAGCTTAACTTAAAGCGACTAAAGTGCGGTAAAAAGAATTGCACTCATGGGCGTAGTCCTTTTACTAGATCTCAAATTTTGCAGGCATTAGGCGGTATTATCCCCACATATAAGTGGTTCACAGATTCTTTGACAGCGCTAGCACGTACGGGAGAAAGTAAACTATATATAGTGCTCTCTGTATTTAAGTACAAATAAGAATAAATGGAGATGTATTTACAATTTTTGGAGCAATACAATTGCTCTATTTTGACAGCGTGAGTGGTACAATATGAGTTTTACTGACGAGGGTATATTTAATCTGCAATGTAAAACACTACACTCTGTTACTACAGGAGCTTCTGTGATAGCTCTGGTAAATGTGAGTGGGCAATCACGCACTTTGTTATATGGTTTTCACTCTTTGTGTTACATACTATCAGTATTCTCTGTGTTGCTCTTTTTATCTGACCTCTCTGCTGCCTTTGACACTGTTGATCATGGCCTCCTTCTCCTAACTCTACAATCTCTTGGTCTCTGTGACACAGCCCTCTCATGGTTCTCCTCCAATCTCTCCCAATGTTCCTTTAGTGTCTCCTTTTCCAACGACGCCTCTTCTCCCCATCTTGTCTCTCAAGGTTCAGTTCTTGGTCCCCTTTGTTCTCTCTCTATTCTCCCTCTCTTGGCAAACTCATTAATTCATTTGGATTCCACTACCCCCTGTACGCAGAAAATACCCAGATATATCTCTCCTCCCCTGACCTCTCCCCTGCTGTCCTACAACGTGTCACCAATTGCCTTTCTTCTATGTCCTCCCGCTTTCTGAAACTCAAGCTCTCTAAAACGTATTTTTCCTCCTCATAACACTGATCCTCCTCCTTCACTCTCCCTGCAGGTTGATGGTACCTGCCTCACCCCAAGCTTTCAAGCTCACTGTCTACATTTCTCACTGATACATAGGTATGGCCCCCTCTCAGTCTCTCCACTCTACTGGTGACCTTTTCTTGTCTGCTGCTCGCACCCTTACTGCAAATTCACGCCTGTAAGACTTCTCACGAGCGGCTCCTTTCCTTTGATACAGCCTGCCTCCCCCTGTCAGACTCTCCCCTTGTCTTCAATCCTTTAAGAAATCCCTCAAAACTCATCTTTTCAGGAGTGCTTATGGCCTCCAAGAGTAACTTCTATCTCCCGAACCTTCCTCTCGCTCTCTCCTATAGGGCCACACTCTACTCTCACCTCCAGTTCTGCTAATTTCCCACCATGTCTATTTGCTGTCTCTCTCAATACCCTTCCTATTGTGTTTTTATACCCCACCTCCTCTAGACTGTAAGCTCATCAACTACCTATTGTTCCTGTTACATTTTGTAATAGTCCCTCTTATTGTAAAGCACTGCGGAATGCTAGATAAATATCAATAATTATAATAATATTAATAATCTGCACCTTGTGAGAATGGATTTCATCACGCACGATTTGAAATCATCAGACAAGCATTGGGAAAGGACTATTTATTTTATATTTTATCCTGATTTGTCTGTTGTTTTTATATTTTATTCTAATTTATCTGTTACTTTTATATTTTATACTTTGTTTTCCTGTATCATTTTATGCTATTACCTTTAATTAAGCCAGTACTGACAAGAATATTCAGTAAATTGCAAACAGCCATGAACTCAAAGTAGACATTAAGTGAATTTTACATTTTAGACTAAAATATCGAAACGGAGTATCTAGTGGCCGTGGACAGCTTTTCCAATTCGGCTAGTCTGGTCAACTATTGAAGTTCACTTGGAATTCACCCTTTACAGGGTCATTAACTAAAGTGAGAATTCAAAGTCAGTTTCAAATTTAAGGCCAAAGTAATAAACTGAAATCATAGCAGAATCTTTCAAGTTCAGCTATTTTGGCCTTAAATTAGATTTTCGCTTTTAGTTTGCACTTTAGTTAAAAGCCCTGTATCTGTATCTATTGCCACTGATAAAGGGTCCACAGCTGTCCTGCCCTGAGCTTGTGCTGGTCCAGTGGGGTATAGAACAATTCGGACCAGACACTCACCATGCAAAGACAAAAACAGTCTCTAGACTGAAAGTACAGATAGAATGTCTGATCCCAAGCAGCAAAGTCCCTGAACAAACTACTGATAAGCTCAGTCAAGGAGAGCAAACACACAGTGTGTGGAGTATAAATAGACCCCTTGTACTCTGATCTGGGAATGAAGTCACAGCCCGGTCACAGGTAAGAGGGTCCCATCTTCCCCTGCTATAAATTTACTAAGCTGCAGCTTCACCAGGAGCAAGCTGGCAGGCCATTAAATTACTCTCAACCATCCTTGTTTTCCCCTGGAAGCAGACTCAGCTTTTCCTAGGCTGGCAGCAGGTAATGGGACTGGTAGTCCTTATCATCTCTAATGCTGGCGACAGTGCTGGGGCAGGCAGAACTGTTTATTACAAACCCCCATCTTCATACTGTTTATAAACCTCAGATTAATTTTACTATGTGTCCGTGAGCTATCTTTTTACTTGTTCAATAATATTGGCATATATAAAGTGGGCATTTTCATTGCAGAATACTGGAGGACTATTTGCTATTTATTATAGTGAGAATTCAAAGTGAATTTAAAATTTAAGGCCAGAATTACTGAACTGAAATGAAAGCTGAATGACTTAGAGATGTTTTCAGTTTTAGCTATTTTGGCCTTAAATTTGAAATTCACTTTGAGTTCGCCATGAATTGTCCCCTTTGTAAATAACCCTGACAGTATATCTGCACAAATTCCGTCCTTGGCTGCAGTAACAGATTTAATTTAGGAAGGGGCCGGTGGATGAAGAGAAATGGTGAATGGAGTGCTAATCTCTGGCTCCTGGATGCTGCCTATTACATTTTATCAAATGTAGACCACAACAACTGGAGTACCAAGAGACTCTCTAAGCACCATAACCACCACAGCTAGAGTACCAAGAGATGCTCTAAGCACCATAACCACAACAACTGTTTAGTGTATGATTACAGCTTATTGTATGATTACATTTCATTGGATTATTATTACAATAGGTTATTGTATTATTACAGCTCATTGTATCATTACAGCTCATTGTATTATTACAGGTTACTGTATTACAGCTCATTGTATTATTACAGCTCATTGTATTATTACAGGTTACTGTATTACAGCTCATTGTATTATTACAGCTCATTGTATTATTACAGGTTACTGTATTACAGGTTATTGAAGTATTACAGCTTATTGTATCATTACAGCTCATTGTATTATTACAGCTCTGTGTATTATTACAGCTCATTGTATTATTACAGGTTACTGTATTACAGCTCATTGTATTATTACAGCTCATTGTATTATTACAGGTTACTGTATTACAGGTTATTGAAGTATTACAGCTTATTGTATCATTACAGCTCATTGTATTATTACAGCTCTGTGTATTATTACAGCTCATTGTATTATTACAGGTTACTGTATTACAGCTCATTGTATTATTACAGCTCATTGTATTATTACAGGTTACTGTATTACAGGTTATTGAAGTATTACAGCTTATTGTATCATTACAGCTCATTGTATTATTACAGCTCTGTGTATTATTACAGCTCGCTGTTTTGTTGCCGTTTTTTCCCTGTTACAGTTTATTACAGATTATTGTGTCATTCTGTGTAAATAAGACACATTGGTCCTGTTCCAAATTGTATTTTAGTTGTTAAAATGTTATTGTATTAGTTGTGTTAGTTACCTAAAATTTCTAGGAACAGCCTCGCTCCTGGTTGCACCCAACTCACACCCCTAAAATTAAAGTGTTCCTTTTTGTCCATTTGAAATGTTGGGATGTATCATACACCGTTATGAGCGCTGAAAATTGACTGGTAGTTTCCTCTGCTAAATAAATGTAACAGAACTAGATCTCCCTGGTTTACATTAAAATTATTATTATTATTGTGGCTTGGTTGGATTGACAATTTTTTTTTTGCTTCTGGTAAAGATCATATGGATATTCTGTTGTAGCGTATTATATAAAAATAAAGCCTATTTAAAGTGTTTCTCAAGATTTAAAAGATTAACACGGTATAGATTACGAAGATTAATAACGCTGTATAGCAGAGCTTGAAATAATGATCTCTGGGTTAAAGTGCAAATGGATTCTGTGTAAAGATTCAATATAGTTTTGATACAGTAACATTGCTTGACATTATTATACAAAAATAATATACCATTCCGCACCTCCTGAAAAGTAATAAGGTGGTTTTCAGGTAGGTACGTCTCCTGACAATCTGCACTCAAAAAGAATTAAAGTCAGTTTTGTAATTTTATTTTTTATTATACTTGTTTTTTAAAATAAAATGTTTTTAAAAATCCTTTAGTTTGCACCAGCACCAGAGACAGCAATTAAAAATATTCTTTTAAAACAGCAATCCAACCTAACAGTAATAGTCTAAACCAGAAACTATAACAGTGAAAGTAAATAATGGTGTTTATCACAATCCGTATCCTCAATCTGAAAATTCTGCACCTGTTTGAGGTGCTGACCACAAGCTCCTTACTACTCCAGCCATGCCATGCGACCCCTGGTCCAAGTTATAGTGAACTTAACTATTCTCTTCTGTCCTGCAGTTATTGAACCAATATGAAGATATTAGTTACGCTCCTGGTGTATGGCGCTCTCTCCGCTGTATCCGGCCAACAAACTTGTCTTTTAGGGAAGCATCACAAAGCGTCCCCGAGTGCAGAGATTGGGGCCCAGGAATGCGTTCTCTATGCTGAATGTAAGAAATCTATTGACAATTATAAATCTATCTTTGTGGGGTCATGCTAGTAAAATGTGTGAAATATTATGACAAATTATTATTAATATTGCCATTTATATAGCGCCAACAGATAGGGGGGATTTAACTATAAATAGGACAATTACAAAACATTTACAGGAACGACAGGTTGAAGAGGACCCTGCTCAAAGGAGCTTACAGTCTATAGGAGTGGAAGTAGCATACCCAGAGCTTTCTCTTAAAGGGGTCTCTGTGCACCATAATCACTACAGACGGTCCTTAGCATAGCAGAATGTGAATTTGAAATATCTATTCCGTCCATATTTGACATCATTGATTAACTTTGCAACAGCAATATGCGAAAGATCAAATATTGTTCCTTAAACTGGGAACTGTAGTGAATTGACAATTATATTATTTGAATTGTAAAACTTTTCCAATTTAACTCTTTATTAGTCTAAAATTTGCTATTCTCCAACATTTCCAGTTTGGTGAAAAAAAAAAGGCAGATATCTCCCACTAGAATTCCTGCGATAATACCTCTCTTCTCTCTCCTATCAGCTTCCTGTTGCTATGCCAACTTCACAGAGAAACTGTCGCAGTCACCAATCATCAAGGTGGATAATTACTACTGGAACAGATGTGGCAATCTCAGCAAAGCGTAAGTAAGCCACACACTATTTCCTTGGAAATACAATATAAACTCCTGTGTTGTTCAGCTAGCGATATCATACCGAAGAAATCATCACTAAAAAAAAGTATTTGGCTTATTTGTTAAACTGAAAATTGGCAGGAATTAAAATTTAAAAAAAAATTAAAAAAATAAAAAAACAGAAAAGAACACTAATACCAAAAACATTATTATTATTTGTAAGGCACCAACATGTGCTGTAGCAATGTACAATATGATACATCCCAAGAATTGGAGGTTTAAAATTGGAATTGGGAGTGGTGGGACTAAAGGGACATAACTGTGACACCACTTGGGTAAAAGTCAAGCCCAAAATGGGTGCTTATAACTGGAGAGGAATGGGGGCCATTCAAAGAAGGAACGTATAAGCATGGTCCAAAAGCAGTCCACAATGACTGATAGCCCCCCACCCCCGGTCAGCCCCATGTTACTAAATAACATAAGAAAATAAGTTGTTACCCAAGAGTTAACAATATTATATTTTGCACAACTCTCAGGTATTCCTCAAGGCTCAGGTATTCCTCGAAGAGCCTCAGGACAGGCCAGACTGGGGATACTAATCGGGGAGATGTGGAGACGGTGCCTTAATTGGGCTGGGACTGGGAAATTGACATAAAACCGTCATTATTCTGGGCATCTGGGTCCATCTGCTCTGTACGAATTCGTCAATGTAATGGTGTACCAGAGTGCATGTCACAAGTATTGGGAATTAGTTTTTTTAAATAGAGACTGTTATCAACCCTAGCTATTGCCATGTCTTTTAAAAAAAATTACATCTTGTGATATATATATATTTTTATTTATTGTTAATATGCCCACCACTTTTATATGTCTGCGTATATTTTAACAGTGAGTTATAAGAATTTTTAAAATTTTAATAAAACCATCCAGATTTCTCTAAAAATCTCTATTATGCATTGATGCTTAATGGTTTATTTTTTGGTTATATGCTAAACCAGGAAAAGTCTGCGATTGAGTAGGGGATTACAAACTTCAGGCCAAAATAGAATCCAGCTCGGCTACTTAGGCACGCAATTTGCAATGCCCAATAATCCCACATGGCTGCCACGGCCTTCGTACATACATAGGAACTCACTGCCTGTTGTGATAGCGTGATTGAGATTGCTAAGCATCATGGGAGATGTAGTTCACAAAATGTGCAAGCACTGTGCTACGGGTTACAGTGTTCTCTGTGCAGCTACAGAAATAATCACAGAAAGAGTTAATCCTGCAGTGGGATCTCAGAAAATTGGCAGATGAAAAGCCTATAACAGGGAAATTAAGTGCATCCAGGCGGGCAGGGTATAAGACTCCCAGGGGGGCACGCTGCGGTTTCTCCATGTAGCATAGCGTGGCTGTGGGAAGTTACAAATACTGTAAAGCCAAAAGCACACGGGGAAGATAAATATTCATAGCTTTGGCCTCCCGCAGCAGCCGTGCTGGCTGTATGTTCCCAATATTTCTCCAAATAACTATAATTTATAATGCATTGAGAAAAAATCCATGCATCAAATAACTCAAAATTCCTAAACTACTGAAGGGCGAGCCCAGGTTTTCTCCTTTCACATACTTGTACAGAGGGACTCAAAAACAGGAGATTATTCACTAAATGGTGATTCGCGGAGCATCATCTACTGAATGGAGATTTTCATCCAAAACCAGCTATTTCGGGTTTATGGGTTTACAAACCTAGGGGTGATTCCATGAGGTCCTAAAATGTATTTGAGAAAGAACTCGCTGAATTTGGCACAAACATAATTAAATTTGCCTTTCATGTATAAAAGAACTATGGCATATCTACTGGTTATTAGAATAAAAGATAAGATTTCATAAATGGTGTCGCTTTATCACCTGAAACCAATTTTGCCAGTCATCATAAATGATGTGATGTCATTAATGTGAGCCACTAATCCAGCTGCAACATATTATCATTTATATAATTTTATTATTTAGAAAATATCAACATATCCGACAGTGCTGTACAATGGATGGGGACTATTTTGTCTCGTAACTTTTTCCTAAGCTTGACAAAACGTGACAAAATGCAGAGCTACTGCCATCAAGTTTTGGCGTTTCCCCCAGCTATTACTAGTGACCTCTGTAAAGACTAAGGCATTGTTTATGGACATTCCCATGGTCTTGTGGGATCCTCCATAGATATTAGAGTTCAAGAGCTGAAGAGAACCTACCAAATGGACATGGTGGCAGCCACAAGGGATAACTTCGGGTAAGTAAGTAAAACTTACCTTTCACTGCACCCCCGGGCCACCGCAGTGCAAATGGCAAAGTCTTTATTGGTGGCCTTTGCGAAATGTGCAAAGACCCCAGAAAGTGACAAAGCTGCTTTAAATATCCAGCACCGGCTAACCCATACTTAGCTCATTCTGTAAAATCAATGAAGATGAAGATAACACAATATTAAACAATCCATTTCAAAGCAGTGAATTTTCATTGATTAAGTACCGTGCATAGAGATTGGCCACTTATTTACGTCCTTTTTTCCCCCTCCAGGTGTGAAGCTTATATGAAGAAGATTGAATGTTTTTACCAGTGTTCCCCCTTAGCGGCTCATTGGATTCACCCCAACATGTCATTTGCGATAGAGCACGTTCCCCTCTGTCAGTCCTTTTGTGACAGCTGGTAAGTATGGTGGTAAGATGGAGTAGAATAGATGTTTGGTATTTTTTTTTTTTTAAAAGGCCTATCTTTGATTCTTCTATCCTCAAAGGTAAACCCAAGAGTTTACAAAAGTCCACCAAGGAGATCACTACTGATTAAAGAGAATTTATATTACTAAAATGTATCTTCTTTAAATAGACAGCAGTGGTTATCCCCGAAACAAGGAATTGTGGGGAATGCAATAGAATATCGTACAATACTGTTTTTTAAGTAAACGTGTGATGCTTTTTGTTTTGTTTTCATTCATTTTGCGACTGATTTTGCGTTTCAATGTTTTGTCCCTTAGGTTTGAGGCTTGTCGATCTGATCTGGTCTGTGCTCGCGATTGGCTGGTTGACTGGATTGTGGATGAAAATGGAAACCACTGTAAAAATGAGTGCATCCCATACCACCAGGTAGATATCTCTATAATAACCAGCGTGTTGATGGACCAGTAGACACAGTATTGAGTGCAGGGTGGGGGGGCCTGGCAAAAGCATTAAAATCTAAAAGGCAAAATGGCTGCTGAGCAGGAGAGAGAGAGGATGACAAGATAGACAAGACAACATGCTTCCTTTCCAGCACCATCGAGACCGTAAAGCACAAAGTAAGTCCTCCAACAGATCAGGCCCCAGTCACTATCTATGATACGTTGTTCAGCCTCTGGTAGTCTTAATTTATTTACAACCTCTTCATAGTTTTATAAACAGAGCCGTTCAGTGTTCTCTGCATTCTACAGCTACCCAAAGCAGGCGAGGGACATAGAGACAGTGGGGGAACATAGGGGCAGGAAGAGAGAGTGAATTTAGTGGCAGGAACAGAGACAGGATGTAGTGACAGGATCAGAGAGAGGATGTCAAGACATGGACAGAGAAGGATGTAGGGGCATGCATCACATTATGTCCCTGGCCAATATGTACACTGAATGCACATTATGTACAGATTTGGAAGGCAAATGATCAGCCAAATTGCTGCAATTATAAGCAGCCATGTGCAAGGTGTCTGGGACAGGAGACACCATTTCCTAAACCGTGCAATGAAGTTGTGATGGTGCTTAAAATGTTTCTTTACATGAATGGATGTACAGATAAATAAATTAATAATTAGCTTTAGGTTTTTGCAGTTTTAGAGTTTTGTAATGTGTTTCTCCAGGTCAATATGTTGTACTGTAAAGAAATTAAATGTGAAGGTTATGTAGTGTATTTGTTATTCCCAGGGACGTGGTAATCTGCTATAAATTACTTTTTATGGGGGGACGGAGCTAGCAGCCATCATGCCAAGTCGCACTCCCTGTGAGCTCCAGGAGATAAGCTGTTTTGAGCCCATCTTATGATGCGCAGAGTGCCCGAAACAGAGCCTGGTTGATACCTACTGCATCCCAGTCCTGACAGGAGCGAGGTATCCCGTGATATCGGGGATCTGCTCCGCACTAGGCCGCAAACATCGCCTTCCTGCCCCATTGGTGATCTGGAGTATGATGCTCCGGACCCAATCCCAGTAGCCAGGGCCACGTCTGTACAACGAATAATAGAGCTACAAAGGTAGATGAAAACAGTGCCTGACTACCAAGGGCAACCTGAAACATCTCCTGAAAGAGCTCTGCTTAATGTTCCAAGCTGATTGCGCCCTGATCCGGGAGGATATGCATACCCTCTCTGGTCGCATAAAAGCAGTGGAAGAAAAATCTGTGACAGTCCGTCAGGCTCAACGCGACAATGCCCTACTCACCCAGAAGCTCACACAGCAACATGTAGCGCTCACCCGCAGGGTAGCAGGTCTGGAAGACACCCTGCGCCGGTGAAACATGAAGATCAGGGAGGGGTGCAGCAACATTGGCACTAAAGAACTGCCTCAGTACATCCAACACTTACCCTCCTCTTCAATGCCACCTAAGCAGGTGAACTTGATGCTCCTTGAAGGGATATACCGAGTAGGCTGTTCCTGCGATCCCACGACAGCTCCCCACAGAGACGTGATCATTTTGCGCTCTTGCTGATAAACGGCCAGTTATGTCTGCTGTCCGAGACAGACCACCACTGGACTTTGAAAGCTCAAATCTGTCTTTCTATGAAGACCTCAGCAGAGCTATTCTTACATGGAGAGCATCACTCCATCCAGTCACTCACCGCTTCCAGGCAGCCGGGATTCGCTACCAACGTGCGCCACCTGAGAGGGCAGAGGAGGGGTGCACAGACTTGAAGATATCACTGGAGCACCTTCCAGACACTTGGTCTCCCTGACCAACCAGACCCAGCAGCCACCCCTGCCTCATCCCCACAATGGGACATTGATAATGTGGTGCCATTCACGGCCAGGAATTCGCCAGGCAATGGGTGAAGAGTATCCTGGTAGCCCTGGGTTAACCATGTTGTTCTTTAGTTCATTACACTTTTGCTTTTTTACTTCTCTGCTCCTATCGTAGCATTCCCTCAAGGCATGACCTCCATTAGTGAGGAATACTTAATAATGTCTCTCCCCTCCGCAACCCGCGATGGCCATGTCCGACCTTAATACAACCACCCCCCCACGCCTCTCCCACGCCCCCTCCCCCGACACTCCAGGGTAATGAAGTGTTAATGTGAGACGGTCAGAAACCGCATAGGATGGGCTGTGTAGGTAGGTACCTACAAATAGCTGGCTACCAGGGCCCCTACCCTGACTGCAAATGTACATTTTGTTTTCCTTTTTGACATATTTTGATGTGTTTTTTTTATTTTGCTATGTAGTAATTACATGTTTTTTTTTATTTGCGGTGGAGAGATAAACATCCTGGTAATCTAGTGGTCACTCTCTATGAGAGTGGTCTCTTAGCTTTTTCCTCTATATTTGTACATCCTGGCTCTTTTCCTCCAAATCATGAAGTACGTAACATACAACTGGGTTTTTATATATGCGAGTAAAAGGGGGCAGGCTAGTGATGTTGGGGATGTAAAACCAGCCCTGATATTATAGCTCTTAATGGCTTGAGTAGTGCAGCAGAAATAATCAAAAAACACACTTACCTCTACCACTTCTGTGTTCATGGCAACATTTTTGCCTTTCGTTGCTTTAGTATAGTCATGCGCGCATGCCATTTGTAGAGGAATGCTGTGTGAGTGCATGCAAGCTTGGACATTCCTTCCATTGTGTTGTACATACTCATTAATTTACATGGCGTGCCATAGCTGTGCCAGGACAGTCAGCGTGCAATGGAAATGAAAAAGTAGAATCAATTGTAAATTAAAAAAAAATCCTTTAGTTAGCTAACTTGTCATGAATTCTTATTTTTTCCCATTTCAGCTAAAAGTTAGACTTGGCCTGAAAAGATAATCATCAGAGAGGTGGGGGTTTGGAGAGTACTCCATTACGACAAAGTCCCCTAGAACAACTCCTCATTTAAAGCCCAGTAGATCAAACTGTAAATCATATTATTAAAAATGGAAGTGCAGGGATAATATATAATGTGTTTAAGGCTATCCTGACTTCCAGTTGACCCCCTCAGTCAGATCCTTCCTAAGTTATGGGCCGTTGACCATGAAGCCTTGTCAGAGCAGAGTCCGTGATCCAGAGAACCAGATGGCCTTTCTCTGGCCGTCTTCCAGATTTAGTCAATCTGATGTTAGGAAGGAGCTGAGGGTCTGTGTTTTTAATCCCAAGGAACAATTTCAAGCTTTTTGTCGTTTCCTCTCTTCTAATGTAAATATACGTCAGCAGACACAGATAGTTATAATGTAATTATTTAACTCTGGAATTGATACTCATAGAATATGCACATTCTCACTTCCTCTCACACATAAATGATTAATTAAGGGTCAGAAAACTGAATGATGAAACTGATAGATTTCAGCATATTGGGATCCTGCCCTCTGGGGCGCCTGTAATAACAGATCTGTGCAAATGTCATATTACCTGTGGGCTTTGCCTGTCATCCTGTTGGTCATCCAGCTGTTATCACATAGAAGGGCTGTAACTCTGCGTCTTTTATTGATGCTATTGTATCTCCCTCTGTAGCACCTTCCGGATCTTTGGCTTAATTTGTGTAACAGCGTACGCGCATGGCACTAGCAGAATTATGCAAAATGATGACGTCATACTCCTACACCTATACAAATCCCAGTCCTCATTTCTCTAGTGGTCCTTTCGTGGTCTTTTGTACTTAGCAATGCAATTTTAGTTCTAGTCATCAGGTGCAACGGATCCCATATACTCCGCCGGAGTATATCCGCTGTAGTTCTCCCAAATCCCAAGTGAGGCAGTGATTAAAGCTCTGAGCTACCCAAGCATCAGTCTACACTTGATGAAGGGTACAAGAAGACTCATTTTATTATGGCCAGGTGGTCCACTTATATACTCAGACCCCAAGCAGAGGGTCTCCAGCAGCAACATAGGACACCACTCCCACAACACGCCGTAGTCACTCCCACAACATGCCCATGACACTCCCACAACACACCTATGGCACTCCCACAACACTCACACAACACACCCATGACACTCCCACAACACGCCCACGACATTCCCACAACACACACATGACACTCCCACAACACGCCAGCGACACTCCCACAACACACATAGGAGTCTCTGTGTCTGGGAGATAATTTAGTGTACTTTGCTTAAACTAATTATCTTCCAGGAACTAGAGTTACAAAACATAAAACACAAAACATTAAGAATATACATAATACAAATTAGAACCTCCACGAATATTTTATCCCCGGATAGTCTGGATCTGAGCACCCAAGTTGTCAAAAAAGCACTCAAATCTGACGAATACAGTCGAATCGCCAGCGGGATAAAGTTTTGATCGGTCATTTTCGGGAGTTCCATACGAACAAACTGTCGAAAGGTTCCCCTTGCTCATAGGTACCGATTGTTCGCCTTGTTTGTGCGAACAATCCTACTGAACAGCGCTCTCCTGGCTTGTCGTGGAAAGAAACAGGCATTCGGTAGTTTTGTAATTGCCGAACTGGGGAAATGTATTTGTGCACAGAGGGGAAAATAAGGTATATGGCCCATGGTCGGTGGTCAGGAGGCCAACTTCTACACTCCTCCAGGATTTCGTGGCAAACATCCAGGATAAGGAGCGTTTGTCTCATCAAGTTTCCTGACTTCTGTTTTCTCGACCTTCCCTAGTGTTTTTCATTTACGTGTCTTCCTGGTAACCCCATCCTTGGCTAAGCTTTGACTTCGATTCTCTCTCCTTTTAGAATGTTTATGTTAAAGCTAGTCTATCACCTTCATATTGTTAAAAAAAAAAAAACACAACAATTTTGACATTGCTGCTTGGTGCTCAGTGTCCAGGGGGTGCAGGGGAAGGTAGGGTTTCCATATCTGAATCTGTCCCTCACAGCCACGTTCATCCAGGGGACCCTCGTCAGCTCCTGGCCATATCAGTGCTGTACACTTGTACACAAGAGTAGAGCACTGATGTCTATGGAGGAACCTGCAAGTTTGTCTTTTTCCTCACAGTCGTCATTAGTGAGACTTGAGTATGATGGCAGTAGTTCCACCTTTTGTCACATTTAGGAAAAATACAGACAAAGTAGTCTTATGATCTCTTTTAAACAATGGTTAAGCTTATCTGAAACAGTGGAGTACTATTACAGATAAGCTGAGCCATTGTTTAGATAATGAAGGAAGGATATATCTTTAGTGTTTGATCTTTGCATGTACACCCACTTTTTATTTTTACACTTTTATGATCTCTTCTGACTGCTTTGGAATTTCTGTGAATTTCTGTGAAATTCCAACACATTCATTGTGAGTATTTCATAAAGCTTTAACCACTTCAAGATCTGGAATGATGCCACTATCATATTTCCTACCTTTATCTTCCTAGGAGGGTACTATCCCATCTTATTGGAGTGGATCGACTAGTCCTAGTAATAAAGGGCACAAATTTCCAGGAATAGGCTCAAGGAACATCTGCCCACCTACTCTAGCTCATTAGGAACAGGTGGCACAAATTTCCTTCTTTCATGCACTAACATACTAGAAAAAAATTAATCTTCTGCCCCTGAACTAGACCACCAGAAACATGGACACACTCTTCCTATTCTCTCTAGTCCAGAATAATACAGCAGATTCACTGCGATTATTACTGAAAATGGTTGCATTATCAGAATGTCATGTCTGGTGCCATCCTCCGATACTACTTCAGCCATGCTTTGCCAAACCAGCCCTTTCCATGCCAAGAGATTCTAATTTCTAACAGTTTTTGCTGTTAGGATATATAATGTACTGCGTCAAGGTTTGACATAACGTTCCATTGGATGGCCTTTTCTTACACAGCTTTAAATAACGCGTTCTATAATAACTTTGCCATGACCAACATATCTTCTACCATCGTTCTGCCAATACTACCTTTCCCACTGGGGTGTATGTAAGCCTGACTTACTGAAGCTACTTCACACGTTGTCATGACTGCTAGTGAGGTCCAGCACGCAGAACTATGTAACATCGACATAGACAGAACAGAAAGTATAGAACGTAAACCGGTCCTTAGAATGGCCGGACTAATACGTTAAAGACAGAGAATGGTCAAGGGATAGCCGAGGTCAAGGAAGCCAGAAATATACAATACCATTTAACGAGCCAAGTCAGGGAAACCAGAAATCAGAATAGTCAGGAATAGCCAGGGTCAAAATGCCAGGAATATCAAAAACAGGACAAGAAAACGCACTCTCGGGAACCAGGAACGGAAACCACGACAGGGCAATGAACTGGGAAGCTCCAGGGATTTAAATATCCCTCCTTTGACTGAGATTGGCCTCTGACCCCAGAACGTGCGTGTGCATCAACGTTCGTCACACACACGTTCGTATAACCCTGGGGTGGAGCTGTCGATGGCCGCAACCACATGGTCGGCGCCATCTTTATTTTGGGCAGGCGGCCTGGGGAACACGGCGGCGTGGCTCCCGACTTGCTGCTGAGCAGGTAAGCTCAATTTGTCGGCGCGGCCGTACCTCGCGACGAGCCGGGGGCCGTGACACACTTTCATGGTTTTGCCTCATGGCCTGGTTCCGTGCTATGAATGTTTTGTACAGAATTATCTATTATCTCAACTTTTTTATTCTGAATTCCCCAACTGTGTCACGATTTGTTAACTGTTTCCTTTCCTTGTTTACAACCTATTGCTTTGTGGCCTTTACTTCAACTAGTTCCGGGCATTGCTCAATCATACTTTAAGACCAACACAATTTTTCTGCCTCTTTCGAGGTCCTTTCATCAAACATAACCACCTCTTATGTATTCCGATACAGAATCCATGGCGTCTATCTTTGTAGGGTTTCCCACATCCAGAATAGATGTTAACCACATAACACATTGGCAGCGTCAAAAGCCATGGTGTTTTCGTGGGCATCTCCAGCCAGTCCTACAAACATGTCAGTCGCAGTACGCTTTGACGCAGAGGGAGTAAACATCTGTATTCATATCAATCCTCCATCATCGTTTTAGAGTACCCGCCTTAACGCGTTACTCATTTATATCTGAAAAGGGTAATTTGTCAGGTGATCTGGTTTGAGTATCTCCTAATTTGGTTCTAAGAAAGTTTGTGATGCACCCATTAGTGAATGGGCATTATGACTAAGCCATGGTAAATGCATAATACTACTATACATGGTGTAGCAGGCACTCAGCTGGTCAGAGATCCGTACCAGAGTGGCCACTCATAGGCTTGGTAAGGGAAGGCCGACTGACTCATTAGAATGTGTTTATGGGCCTCGTGGTTCTTTAAGAATGTGAGATGTCTCACACCAAGCTATTCTCATGGGTACTCTAAGGGGTGAAGCTCCGATGACTAACACCATTCAGAATATTCAGAGTGTGAGAAATCCGGCTTAACATGAACACAGATCTTATTTCCCTCCGTCCAATCCAGAAATGCTCTGATCTTATTTGGCAAGAGTAGTTTTATTCTTATCTACAAATATGTGGGAGAGCAGGGCATGTTCTGATAGTTAACAAAAAACACAGGTTGTGTTGTTTTTCAAAGGATTCCTTCCTGACTGTGATATCTGTGGAGCTGGTCCTTAAAGTGTAGCTATCATAGAATACACAATTTAATTTAGGCGTGTGCTGGGAGAATTGCTAGGAAATGCATGGATTGGGAGAAAAACGTAATTTAAAAATATTACTCCATTCTGGTCTCCCCGATCTAGGCTTGTTTACTGGATTTACTTTTCTCTTTCTTTGCTTTGTGTTTTTTTTTTAGGGACTGGTAGTACATCTGTTATCATCATTATTTACCTGGTTCACCTTTGGTAGGAAACTGACATATACTTGGAATGTTGGATCCCTCTTAGGCAACGTACAATGACTTGGGTCAATACAGCTAATTGCATTATACAATATAATTGTCATGTTACGATGCAGGGAGTCTCCGAGTACTGCCCTCCCCCAAACCATGCCCATTACAGAAAGCTATAAGGACAATTAAACCCATGTGATAAAGCTCTGGCAGGTGAACTGATACGTGTTTTATATATCTGATGCTGAGACTGAATTTTCCAGTCGTCGTTACAGGTTCCTGTTAGTGGTTCCTGGTGGCGTATCGGTGTCAATTCAAGACTCCAGATTTGACGCACCTGCGACAATCTCACAACATGCCCCAAGGTCCTTGTTACTAGGTCACGGTCGTGTCATGCTGGCCACAATCAAACTTAAATGACACAAGCCACAACCTTCGCACCTTTTTATATTTAATTAATTATTGGTGCACTGTCCAAGGCACTGCGCATGTGCTAATGACACAAAAGATACACAAGGAGCTGGGGTATATAAACGCATGGAATCTCTGGACCAGTGTCCTTTTATGGTTTTTATTGCCCTCAAGTGTGTTTCATACTGTTCCTGACTCCTGTTATTGATCCAGCTAAAGCTATTCATCCTGATTTGTTTCAGTTCTTTGTCCAGTGTTTCCTGACCCAGCTACATAGCTTACCACAAGTATTCCTGTTCTGTCTTTGTGTACCAGACCTGACTATGTTTTTGACTTATTCCTGTCTATAGTTACCAGTCTCGACCCTGTCTTTGACCTTGGATTTGGTTATTGGTATCTACTGTTTTATGTACTCTTCCTGATCTGAATTGGTTTATTGGTTTAGTGCTGATATTTCCTATATCCACCTAAGATCTAGTAATACGCCTGTTTATCCTCTCCCTTGGCTCCTATTGGTAGGATTGCTGACTTATATCTTGCTGAGAATCCTCATGTATCCTGACAATCCCTTACAAATCCAGGAAGGCAGTAATTGGACACATGGGTCCTGGTATCATTACAGCTAATCATATCAAACTATTTAATTGTAATGTTACGATGTAGGGAGTCTCCGTCCTAAACCATATCCATTACAAAAAGCCAAGAGGGTTATTAAACCCGTGGTGATAAAACCCTGGCAGGTGTCCTGATTCCTGTTATATTTCTGGTTCTGAGACTGAATTTCCAGCGACCACATTGCGGAATCTTATTAAATAGACTCCTCCGATCATAGTGCAGCTTGTTCCAGGAAGACACACTTAATGTATTACAAGTTAGTTTGCTTTTTCCCAGTATGGTCCCCGCAGTATGTCTACATCACGCACAGATCATTCGTCAACTATTTCTCAGCACTGGCTGCTCCGTCTTGGCTGACTCTCTTTTGCCATAAACATTCGGCTTTGTTTGTTCTGTGACTGTGCTCGCCAGCAGAACGACGACTGATCCCAAGCCAGCAATACAGAATGTAAAAGCACTTGAGAGACAGCCCTGTGATTTTAACAGATACAGAACATCGTATTTCTAACTAATGGTGTATCACAAATCTCAATGTGGCACAACCACAAAGCTCCTAACGTTCAACCAGATTTTAAAGAAACATTGGTGGAGAGAAAACCGGCTGTTGGCTAAAGCAGAGTGATTAAAGCTTAAGTAGAATCTATATAGAACAGTGATTGAAGCTTATATAGAAGAAATATATATTTAAAAAAACAACCCCTTAAAAGACTCTTGAAAGCCGACTTGAAGACATTGGCTCTCAGCAAGTATCTGATCAACACCAAGAGGGACGTATTAAAAAAATGTCCTGCTGGACACACTGCTCTGCCACCACACAAATAGCTGAAGAAATAAATAACTATATAGAGTTACATTTGTATCTATTTAACAGTAACAATAATCAGGGATCAAATAGATTTGTATTTACCATTGGGACCCCAGTGCATGAATCCCCCATTTTCATAATAGGTGGAGTTTGATCATAGAAATAGGAAGGGGGAGGGTGGGGGGGCTGTGTGGGCCCCCTAACTCTCATCCTCCATGCTGTGAACAAGGAATTATATTGGTGCAGAGTATTAAGCACTTGTATTTGGTTTTATATTTTGAATCTTATGATAGTGCTGTGTTATTACGGGGTCTTAGGAAAAGATAGGCTTGTAGGTCTATTGGTTATATAGACAGACAGATATATATGTAGGTAGGGGCCGGCAGTCAGACAGACAGACATATGATAGATAGATAGACAGACAGACAGATATATATAATATAGATAGATAGGCAGACATACAGACAGATATATATTTAATATAGTTAGATAGATAGACAGACAGACAGACAGATATATATATAAGATAGATAGATAGATATATAATATAGTTAGATAGACAGACAGATATATATATAATATAGATAGATAGATAGATAGATAGATAGATAGATAGATAGATAGATACATACAGGGTGAGACTGGAGAATATACGAGATTCATTCATTCTACTAGCACCCTAAGCAGAGTAATTAATTATCACGGGATAGAAGTCTGAAATGACTTCATGTGGATGAAATGTCACAGCCTGGCTCTAAGGGTGGGGTAGTGAAATGATTGCTCTCTGGCAAACAGTGGCCCCTGGGCACGGCCCAATTAGTTTAATAAAAAAGCCAGTCTTACCTGTTATGTGTGCTCCGTATTTATCATTACTGTCTGCAGACTGAGCTCATTCTTTGCTCTGACTTTTTATCTCGTACAATCTGGAGCATTGATAGCTAACCGGTAAATCTGCAGCTGTTCTTAAAGGGACACTATAGCCACCAGAACAACTTAATGTACAGCTTAATGTCGTTGTTCTGGTGAGTATAATATTCATGCAAACACTGCCTTTTTTAGAGAAAAGGAAGTGTTTACATCACCCCCCAATCTGAGGAGTGGCCACAGGAGGTGCTTCCTGGATCAGTGCTGCACAATAGGCAGCACTGCCATTCAGCGTCTCCACGCTCTGCATGGGGACGCTGAATTTTCCTCAAAGAGATGCATTGATTTATTGCATCTCTATGAAGAAGTGCTGACGGGGTCAGCGCCGGCAGACCTGTTCGGCGCTGGAAATAAGGTGAGTTTTAATTCCTTTTAAGAGGGCTGGGGGGGGGGAGGGGAGAGGGTAAGCCACCTAAATGGTGGGTTTAACACTGTAGGGTCAGGAATACATGTTTGTATATAGTCTTCCTTTAAAACAGCACTGTCACTATCTGAGGACTTCACAATATGAATAAGATTGCTCTGATTGGTTGGCTAGCAACCCAATCAAAACTCTCTTACAGCCAAGTCTCGAGAGAAGTCCCACCCAATCTGAACTGGCCTGAATTTTGTCAGATGACTGAAATCGAAAACATTTAGACATTATTGAATTCAATGAACAGGGTTCGGTTTTTACAGTCTAAATGGCCCCTTACAGCAGCGAATGGTTTTGCCCCATTCGGTATGGGCCCGTTCGGACTTAAGCATAAAACCCTATTTCTATACTACAGTCACTATATATGTTCTTATGACTATTTGTTGTGGCTGTGTATGATAAGGTAGTGTGAATATCGCCTTCTTTGTCATTTATAAATGATTGTGTTGTGCAGTGGAAATACACATGGTGTGTTCGATTTCTGCACTTTTATTCATGTTCCAATTGGTGACAATATATCCTTTTATCCTTTGTTTTAAGCCAGCACAGAGCAGACAGATCAGTGATCTCCGCTCATAATGCCCATGATCCCTAGCCTGCTATAGGGCTGCAAAGCAACCTGCCAACTACTTAGTAATTAGTTTGCAGAGATTCTTGCTTTTCCTGCTGTGCTCTGGATTTGCGAATTTTGTCTGCAGGGTGATGTTTAAAGTTCGTATATTGAAATTTCTGAGAAGCTAAATAATTAAGACATTTTCTTACGGCTGTTAAAAAGATGGATGTTTTATGTAATTTCATGCTAGGAGGAGCATGCAATACAGATCTGCTACCGCTGGTAATGAAGGGGTTAATGAACAACACAGTATAAATGTCTTTCTGCTGAGAGATTACAAATTCAGCCAATTACCCAGCAGCACGGATTAGCTGGGTATTACCAATGCAAGAGATCAAACAGTGCTACCCTTCAATCACGTTTATTTAACAGCTAATTCTAAGACACCGTCATTTCTCTTTTTCTGCACGATAATAATTACCATATTTTTGGGGAATATTAGATACACCCACGTATTTTAATTAGAAATTTAGAAGGAAAAAAACAACCAATTAAGTGTCTTAGTGCCTCTTATCCTCCTTAGTGACTTGCAATCTTCCTTGCAACCTCCCTTTTTACAGCACTTGTGGCCCTTAGTGCCCCCTCCTTGTGGCTCTTGCTGCACTTCTCGTGGCTCTTGCTGCCTCTCATTTTTGTTCTCTTATCTTTATCCTCTGTCTGCTCCCATTGAGCAGCTTCTGTCAGACTCCGCAGGTGGAGGGAGTTCTGTGCGCCCCCTTTCTGTCAGTTATTTATACCGGCTGCAAATTTTGGGTTAAGAATTGCCTCCTATATTCCGAATAATGCAGTAACTTTTTCATAGCTAGCGGATAGGATTCTTTCTTTTGTGTAAAGCCCCACCTGCTATGTCATCAGTTCAAAAAGGATTTAAACATGGAGGCCCCTCAGTACAAAGATAAACCAGGAGATGAACATAAAAGTAGTAATACCTTATATGTATTTATTACAAAATAATACACAGTGAGGATTATCTTTAATCCTCAGTAATAATCAAAGTAAGGCCAGTTTTTTTAAAGTCATGCCTTTCAGAGAAACTAATAAGCTGCAGGCAGTATACATTAGATCAGGGGTTGGCAACCTTCGGCACTCCAGATGTTGTGGACTACATCTCTCATGATCAAGGTGAAAAGACAGGCTCAGTTTTACCAGGCTCATCCCGGTTTTTGCCTGTTTGTCCCGGAGTACCGAGAAACTTTCTCTGGATGCATGAATGTCCTTTCATCTCCCCTGCCGACCTCATGCAGAGAATGCTCCGCTAACTGCCTTCTCGGGTGGGGAGATCAAGGATCTTCCTCATCGGACCCAAGGCAGTTTGCTGCTGCTGCAGAGGGAGGAAGAGAGCTGGGCCTGGGAGGCAACACGCTCCTCCCATGAGCAGGTAGGTCGGAGCATTGCCGCACGTTACCATGGTAATGCTCTGACACTGCACTGTACTCACGGGAGGAGAGAGTAGTCAGCCTGCAGCCAGGGGACCTGCAGGCTGAACTGCATGCGCCACCACTAGACAACCAGGGATTGAAAAGTCCCCATCTAAATTAGTTATATTAGTTAAACTTAAATTTTTTTTTAAAGATATATACATTTGCTCCATTATCCCCCCCACACACTGAACACCTACACACACTACACCCCTCCACACACACACACACACACACACACACTACACCCCCTCCACACACACTACACCCCCTCCACACACACTACACCACCCCACACACTACACCGCCCCACACGCACATACTACACCCCCACACACACTACACCCCCACACACACACTACGACCCCTCACACACAGCACCCTTTACACAAACACATTACCCCTTACACAAACACAGCACCCCCTTCACATACTGAATCCCTCCACACACTACACTCTCCACACACACTACATCCACCACACACACATGTGCTCCCTCAACACACACACATGCAGCACTCCCTCCACACACACACACACTCAGCAGTCTGTCTGTGTACTCAGCGGTCTGTGTGTGTGTGTGTGTGTTTTTATCAGTCTGTATGTATTCAGCTGTCTATGTGCGTCTATTCAGCAGTCTGTGTGTATTCAAATGTCTGTGTGTGTATTCAGCAGTCTGTGTATTCAACAGTTTGTGTGTGTATTAAGCAATTTGTCTGTGTGTATTCAGCAGCCTGTGTGTGTGTATTCAGCAGTCTGTGTTTGTGTATTCAGCATCCTGTGTGAATGTATTCAGCAGTGTGTGTGTATTCAGCAGTCTGTGTTTGTGTATTCAGCAGTCTGTGTGTGTGTATTCAGCAGTATGTGTACTCAGCAGTCTGTCTGTGTACTCAGCAGTGTGTGTGTGTGTGTGTGTGTGTGTGTTTAGCAGTCTGTATGTATTCGGCTGTCTATGTGCATCTATTCAGCAGTCTGTGTGTATTCAAATGTCTGTGTGTATTCAGCAGTCTGTGTATTCAGTAGCCTCTGTGTGTGTATACAGCAGTCTGTGTATGTTTTTAGCAGTCTGTGTGTAACAGTCTTTGTGTATTCAGCAATCTTTCTGTGTGTGCATCAGGCAATCTGTCTGTGTGTGTACTCAGCAGTCTGTGTGTATGTATTTTATTTGTTGGAGGAACCAATAAATATAAGCTTTCCCTGGGGGCCTATAATGCTGTTAAGATAGCCCTAGTCCAGGGTATGTGTGTGCTCTGACCTACAAAATGTGAATGAAAAGACACTCATTTGAGTACCAGGTAGGAGATGAGCACATACGAATGTGCAAAAGTACCGAATAGCGCTCTCCCAGCTGTTCGGGAAACAAAGATCCAGCGTTCGTATGTTGGGACAGGTGTTCGGGAAGTAGAGTGTCCGATTTTAGTTCCAGACATTCGACGACCAAGTCCCGCTGCCTTTGTTCGCACAAACAAGATGGCCGCCGTTTTCCCAGCCACGTGGCGTTCGGCAATACGAATGGCGGCCGCACAGGTAGAGGGTTTAGTTGAAGCATGCTTTTGAAGTTAACGAGCCAGGGGGGTGTTCTCTGTTCGGTAGTTACATCCACCTAATGAAAAGGGGAGCAATAACGAACACAAAGAGGGATTTCTTCACACAGGTTTTTTATTTTCAAATCTGGTCACCCTGCCTGTGATGCCTTGCCAGCTTTATGGCTGAGAGCATTATGGGAGTTACCTACCCCTGAATTAGATAAATAGTCCTAATAATTGTCCCACCATCTAATGTCAAAATAGAATGTGTCTTTGATTAAAGGTTCTCAAAATATTTCTACATAAATAAAAATGTTGCTGCAGATTATTTTTAAAACTGGCAGAAATTCGATGTGCTGAAAGTATCGGCGCATGGATTGGCTGAGGAGAGAGAGACAGGAAAATCCTGCTCTGTATGTCCTACTGAACATATATGGAATGCTGGAATAAGCCAGAGATACATTGAATGTTCAGAACTAGTCTCACGTGTGAGGTACGAAGAAGCAGACAGGCTTGGCTTCTCTCTGCGTTCTATCACTTACTGCTGCGTCCTGCTTGTTTTAAACAATTGCAGTTAATGCAGTCAGAGGATAAAATGATTTACTTGGGACTTCCCTGTAACCGCAAGATGAGTATCCTCACAATCCCTGTGGGGTTTATTCACTAAATACTGAATTGAGTGAATTAAAAAATGAATGCCAAAATTCAGTCAAAAATTGCTGATTTGGGAAAAAAAATCTCCATCTAAGATTAGACACAGTTTGGCTAGTTTTGCTTATAAGGTGCCTGTCACTCACCGGAAGTTTTAATATTATTTTTATTGTATTTTATTATGTTCCCTGCATTTTATAAATATGTATCTGTGAGGTATGAAAAATATAATAAATGAAGAAACCCACACCTTTTTGTCCTGCAACTGGGTGCCTTCATCTTATCTGCCTGTCAATCATTATTATAAGCTGTCATTGGCACCTGGCAGTCAGCACTGAATACAGAGAAGAGATAAAATTAAACAATGGGGAAGATTTATAAAAGTGTTGTCGCCAATTTTATGTGCAATTTATTTTATTTTATGTTGCTTTTGTTACGCCCAGAGGTGGGTCTCTAATTAGGCAATTAGGCGGCCGCTTACACAGGCATACAGCTAAACCACAGGTCTGAAGATACTGTGAGTATAATAATGAGTAATGAGCCCATCCGGCATAATGCAAGGGCTTGCCCAGTCCCCCAAGGGCAGTAAATATATATATATATATATATATATAGAATCCCCAGAGACAATAACCCACCTACACCATGGCTGAATAACCCACAACAGGTAGAGGGAGACAAAATGACAATAGAGGGTCCCTGGAGCGGAGTATCTAATAAGGACAAAACTGGCGAGTAAGATCCGTCAACGGCCTCTTACTCTGGTAACATGCAGAAGAAGAGGCAGTCCCGGCGTTTCACACACTTTCTGAGTGATGGCCGCACGACACAAAGTGCTACTACGCAGCCGGATCCACCAAAATGGCCGCTGTGCTCGCACGCATGTGTGGATCTTACAAGGTGTCAGACAATTAAAGGGACCTAAAAAAGGGGACAACTTGGCTCCCAAGGACTGGGACAATGCTTACCCGGGAAAGGTCCAGGTGACCAGTAAACTTAACTGAGGGAGCAGCAAAGAAAGAGGAAGTGGTGACAGAGTTTTAGGCCTTGTGGTGTAACCTGATTAGTGGCCCTTGTATATAGGTCACATTATATTTTTACCGTTTTGTTCATTATATTGTGCTTTCTCCAAATATGTTTTCTCTGCTAATGAGGGAATTAAATAAAGAGTGCAGCATTAATACTCGACTCCGTGGACTCGACTCCGTGTCATTAATAAAATCTGAATTTATCGGTCCATTTTCAGAACCCTTTAATAATTATCCAACAATGTATCTATTTATTCTCCTCATTCGCAATAATTGCCTAGCTTTGCCTGGACTGAATGTTACTGTAATGTCATTTTGTTCATTCTGTCACGTAAATGTAATAGAAAATGCAGCATCTCATGATAAACAGGTAGTTTGTGATGTTTAATTCGATGCTGTATTTTCCAGAATAAAGTGACAGTTTCCCCCAAAGGTTTACTAAATCAAATAAAACTAAAACTTACCTTTTTAGGGCAATTTCTACTCTCAGCATGATCCTCATCTGTAACTCAATGAGATGAAGTGGTCTGGGTGCCTGTAGTGTCTCTTTAATCAATATTAATTCATTCATTCATTCGCATTGTATAATACCCTGGTTTCTCGCAGTTGGCCCTTTGCCATTATTTCATTAAGGATTTTTGGCAGCTTCCCAAATATTCGCTCCATATGGGGAACTGACAAGATTTACATAATTACTTCTCTCCAATAATTTATTCCCCAAACCCTAAACACGAGGAGGGGAGAGCCGCAGGACACGCACTGTGAATAATTAGTGAGGGCGAGTCTGGCAGAGGTAAAATGTTCCTTACTAATGATTAATATCCGAGTTATAAAAATAAGGACATCATAGATAATAAGAGTACAATCATCTGAAATATCCCAAATATCTGGAAGGTGACATATTGGAAGTACTTGAAAGCTGATATACATTGAAAGATAATTATGTTACAAAGTGTACAGCGTGATAGATATTTGGATTTATTTTTTGTTTTTTGCACAGTGTGGTCCCAGGAGAGTTGATGTCATGATCATTGATTATGAAAGCTGGTAATTGGCTTTGTAGATTTGTGACAGCGAAGTATTAATGGGTAAATATTGTGAACGGTCTTGGTTAGTTATCAGGGATGTTGAGGGTTACATTAGGATGTAAGCACACGTTTAATTCAGGGGTTCAGAAACAAACGAGGTTCATTACTTACATCTGCACTGCAGCAAGCTATAACCTGATTGGTCACAATAAAATTAAATGTCGATTTTCATATTGCTGTGTTTATCTTATCCTGGGAACGAGCGGCTCCATCTTGGCTCTGTGTCACCCATTGTTATTATTATTATTATTATTATTATTATTATCGCCATGTATATAGCGCCAACAGATTCTGTACCGATTTACAATATTATTAGAGGGGGGATTTAGCTATAAATAGGACAATTACAAGAAAACTTACAGGAACAATAGGTTGAAGAGGACCCTGCTCAAACGAGTTTACAGTCTATAGGAGGTGGGGTATAAGACATGTTAGGACAGGAAATAGTGATCAAATAAGGTGGGAGTGAAGCAGAGCTGGAGGAGAGAGTAAAGCACTGCCCTTTAGGAGAGAGCAAGAGACAGGTATGTGAGGTAGAGGTTACTCTGGGAGGCCATAAGCTTTCCTAAAGAGATGGGTTTTAATGCACTTCTTAAATGATTGAAGAGTAGGGGAGAGTCTGATGGCGGTGGGCAGGCTATTCCATAGGAAAGGGTGCCCGTGAGAAGTCCTGCAAGCGCGAGTTGGCCATACAGGTGCCAGCAGCGGACAGGATAAGGTCACAGGCAGAGCGGAGAGACAGAGAAGGGGCATACCTATGGATCTGTGATGAGATATAATAGGGGCTAGAATTGTTCAGTGCTTTATAGGTATGGGTTAGCACTTAGAATTGACTTCCATAGGATACAGGAAGCCAATGTAAGGACTGACAGAGGACTGAGGTGTGAGAGGACTGACTAGAGAGGAAAATCAGTCTGGCGGCAGCATTCATTACGGACTGTAGAGGGGCAATACAGCTTTTGGGAAGACCAATCCTGAGAGGGTTACAATAATCCATGCAGGAAATTAATAGAGCATGGACAAGCTCCTTGGTAGCATCTTGCGTAAGAAAGGGCCGGATGTTTTTAAGATGGAATCTACAGGATTTGGCAACATACTGGATGTGAGGCTTAAAGGTGAGGCCAGAGTCAAGTATGACACCAAGATGGCGCGCTTGCAAGGATGGACTTATCTGGATACCACTAACTTGAAGGGAGAGCGAAAGAGGAGGATTAGTATTAGGAGGAGGAATGACAAGGAGCTCAGTTTTAGAGAGATTGAGTTTCAGAAAGCTTTAGGACATCCAGTCAGAGATGAAAGATAGGCAAGCAGTGACACGTTACAGGACGGCAGGGGAGAGGTCCGGGGAGGAGAGATATGTCTGGGTGTCATCAGCGTACAGGTGGTAGTGGAATCCAAAAGAGGTGATAGGTTTGCCAAGAGAGGCAGTATAAAGAGAAAATAGAAGGTGACCAAGTACAGAGCCTTGGGGGACTCCAACCGAGACAGGATGAGGGGAGGAGGTATCATTAGAAAAGGAGACACTGAATGAACATTGGGAGAGATAAGAGCAAAACCCTGAGAGGACAGTGCCACAGAGACCAAGCGATTGAAAAGTTTGAAGAAGGAGAGCATGATCAACGGTGTCAAAGGCAGCAGAGAGGTCTAGAAGAATTAGTATGGAGTAGTGGCCTTTAGATTTAGCTGTGATTAGGTCATTAGTAACTTTGATAAGAGCAGTCTCAGTAGAGTGGAGAAGGCGAAATCCAGATTGAAGAGGGTCAAGGAGAGAGTTGGAATTGAGGAAGTGAGACACAAAGGCACACACAAGTCTTTCCAGAAGCTTTGAGGAAAAAGGAAGAAGGGATATGGGAAGATAGTTAGAGGGGGAGTACGGGTCAAGAGATGTTTTTTTCAGGAAAGGTACTACAGTGGCATGTTTAAGGTCAGCAGGGACAACGTCAGAAGAGAGAGAGCCGTTGAAGATGTGTGTTAAGGAAGGCACAAGACAAGGGGAGAGAGATCTGATAAGGTGAGATGGGACAGGATCGAGCGGGTAAGTGGTGGGGCAAGAGGAAAGGACAAACGCAGCCACCTCTTGTTCAGTAGCCAGGGAGAAAGTCTGAAGGGTAGTAAAGGCATGCTCTATGTGTGGCTGAGGAAGATAACGGCAAGGTGGGGAGAATTCTTTCCTTAGCTATTCAATCTTGTCGGTAAAGTAGCATGCAAAGCTATTGGCTGTAAGGTTAGTTTGAGAGGTGACCGATGCAGGGCGAAGAAGAGAGTTAAAGGTGTCAAAGAGACGTCTGGGATTGCGGGAGCATGAACTAATGAGAGAGGAAAAGTATGACTGTTTGGCGAGGGCAAGGGCTGCGCTGTATGAACACAATATGAATTTATATTGGAGAAAGTCTGCCTGGGTGCGAGACTTCCTCCAGGAGTGTTCAGCACAACAGTAGCATCTTTGCAGGTAGCGTGTTGATTTAGTATGCCACGGTTGGGGGCGTGTCCTCCTCGAGGTGCATGTTTGCAGCGTTCAAGGCAGAGGTGAGGGGAGTGTTATATGTGGAGATGGCCAGTGAGGGACAGTTGAGGGAAGGGATGGATAGCAGTTGTGCATCAATCTAGGCTGACAGCTGCTGGAGGTCAATAGAATTAAGGTTCCTCCTGAGTTGAGGGGGGTTCGGCTGAGGTTGTTGGGTGAGGGGGTATTTGAGAGCAAACAATAAGAGGTGGTGATCAGAGAGAGGGAATGGAGTGTTGCAGATATTAGATACTGTACATGCATAAGGGAAAATGAGGTTGAGGGTATTGCCAGCTACATGGGTGGGAGAATTAGCCCACTGTGATAGCCCAATGGAGGAAGTAATTGAAAGTAGTTTAGAGGCTGATGAGGTCAAAGGTGGGTTAATGGGAATATTGAAGTCCCCGAGAATTAGAGATGGAATATAAGAAGAGAGGAAGTAGGGTAGTCAGGCAGCAAAAATGTCAAGGAAGAGGGTAACCAGGGGGGTGATAAATTACAGCAATGTTAGCAGAGAAGGGTTTGAAAAGGCAAACTGATGGGAAAGAGAGGGAAGGTGAGGGGCAGAGTTTTAAAGGAGCAGTGGGGTAAAAACAGAAATCCGACACCGCCACCTTTATTCTCAGCTTGTCTTGGGTTGTGGGTAAAGTGAAGACCACCAAAGGTTAGTGAGGCAGGTGTAGCAGTATCAGAGGGAGACATCCATGTTTCCGTTAGTACAAGTAGGTTTAGGGAGTGTGAGATAAATAGGTCATGGATGGAAGTAGATTTAAAGGTGTTGCACACAGAGCGTGCATTTCAGAGGGCAGCTTTAAAGGCGGAATTATAGTGAGAGTTACATGGAATGGATATTAGGTTGTTGTGGTTTCTGGTGTTATCACCAGGTGACTTAGTAGAGGATGGACCAGGGTTTGGAGAGACATCACCAGCTGCCAGGAGCAGTAGGATGGAAAGTAAGAGAATGTGGGAGTAAGATTTAAATATTTGGGATGTGTATTCAGGGGATTTAGGAGGGGTTTGTGGAGAAAGACTGGATATATATGATTAAAGTGCATGTGATGAATACAGAGATAAGGGAAGTAGAGAGGGAGCAATGAAGATGGAACAGGTAAGTAAAGGGATAGAGAGATTTTAATAATGAGGGAAGTGAGAGAGAAAGTGAAATATAGAAGGGAGAACATTATTGGGAGAATAGGTGCTGCATTTTTAAGATATGGAGAATTGAGCTGTAAAGATTGCAGGTGAGATTGTGAGTGTTAAGTGTTAAAAAGGTATTCATTGTGTGAATTAAGCTATTTTAGGTGTGGAGGGCTTGGTGGACATGATTGGTTTGTCAGGAAATCCAGTTAATTTGCTCTGTCCTTTGTAACAGTCAGCTAACACAGAAAGGGCATATAGAGAGTAGGAGAAATGGAAATAGTGAGGTTATATAGAAAGAGTAATTCTGGGATAAAGATTTAAAAGTTTAGCAATCGACACAGCCAAGCTTCATCCCTGACAAGCACATCATTTTAAAGCAAAGACATATAGGGGCGCAATCTGCCTCAAAATGGCGGTTACTGCACCAGCTGCAGACACACTGAACCAACTGCAGACACTCGAGAGCGCCTAGACGACCTCCTTGAAAATTTCTGGCAGAGAATGCCGAACAAAGGGGCACAGACCCAGAGGGAGCCGCTACACCCGACATGAAAAACCCCCTGGAGTGGCTGGCGGGAAGAAAAGACTGCACACGACGCCCAGGAAACGGAGACCAGCGAAGGCGGAGAAGGCGGCCCATATTATCTGAGGCTCGCATCTGCCTTCCTGGGCTGAGGGCCTGAAAGGGAAACACCCTGCTGCGTACCCCACATGCCCGGACGGGACTTTTCCATTACACAACCGCCCGGGACCTCGCTTGTGGTGTTGAAAGTGACCGGAGCAGTGGAAAGTGCACGAGGGCCCTTGCAAAGGTCTGGGGCCGGCGGAGTGGCCAAAATTTAATGCGGTCCATAGACCAACCTGCTGGCAGCTTCCTGATCGTGGGCATAGGATGAACGCATAAACACACTCCTGGACTGTACCACAGCGAGCACACCGGGACTTACTCACTCTAAACAGGAAGATACATGTTGCCTCCTGAACGTTACCAGTAATACCATTAATATATATTCTGCTTTTGCTTTACTAGAAAAGTATGTTTTTTCCCTTTTTTTCAGTCCAATGGTCTATTTCTTCACATGCCTAGCTTGATGCAGATGTGCCCCAAAACATAGAAACATAGAATGTGACGGCAGATAAGAACCATTCGGCCCTTCTAGTCTGCCCAATAAAAAAAGCCTAGTGGTTTACGACTTAAGCCTGCTACGTATATGTCTTGCCGAACCCTGCAGAATATGCGGCCTTTAGCCTTTATGTATGTTTAGCCTGAAATAATTTAATCTAAGAGTATGCTAGCTCTAAGACGCGCTTTTCATAGTATTACTCCTTTATTGTTAATCGAAATGTCTTATTTTCACCTCGTTTTTACCTAACTAGTACAGGCTATAACTTAAGACATAAGTACCTAACCTGCATTTACTAACAAAAAATGGTGCCATTCTTGCATGCCATAATTCTGTATTCACTGTATTACTGTTTTGGCTTGTACATGCTGTTGTGGCGATAGGAGATTGTTTGTGTTACTCACACACTGCAAAAATAAAGATTGACCAAAAAAAAAAAAAGTTTAGCAATAACCATGGAAACCAATGGAACGGCCTCCGTTGATTACACTTTTAGAAACATACCCCTAAATTACTCATAGTAGCTGTCTCCTCCTTATTTGCATTGCGTGCCCTGGATATGCCAGCACTAAACTGGATTAGGATACAAAAACATTCATATTTGTACACAGTCATAAATATCTAAATGTCGGCATGCAGCTTCAGCAATGACGTTTACCCCAATGCCCTGCTTCGTGCCTGAGAAATCAGATAAATGTCCCCTTCGGAATATGTGCCTGGCTTTCTGAGTGGGGACCCCAGTGATTTTTCTATTTAGCAACTTTAATGCAGGCATTTGGGGACAGAATGGGTGAGACCCCTCAGTTAATCCTTGCTGTTAGCCAAACATAAATTCCCCAGCTGCTCCCCCCTGGATCCGCCACTGGACTCGATTTAATATTTTATGATGAGCTTTTCAAATTATGTAAAAAAAAATGTGTACATTTGTGAAATAATTTTTCCAAAAAAAATTACAATTATTATTGAAATATAAAAAACATGTCATATCATTTATAGAAAAATATATGTTAAAAATTAAAAGATTAAAGCATTTTAAAAGTTTAGCTTATATTAAAAAGTATTTAACTAAGTCCACTGTGTCAACTGCTAAAACTTTAAAAAACATTAAAAACATGAGAACAAATATTAACCAAAATTATTAAGTTATGTGTGATTTTAATGGTTTGCAGACTGGTGTATGTGACAATTTCCCTTTAGTTGTTTAGAATCACAGTCAATCACCTCCTCGTTCCCTTCACCGGTTACCAGTTACTGTGATTAAACTATTAATTCTCTCTGCCATCACCTCCAGGGCCCTATTGGTGTGTTTATATTGTATTGTTATTTTCCCAGTTGTACAGCGCTGCGGAATATGTTGGCGCTTTATAAATATCAGCAATAAATAAAAAATAATTAGGTTATTTGTATTCACATTATCCCATTGCCTAATGCAGCCATGCTAATACTTTCTTTACATATGTATGCTGTATTCCTCTTGGCTGTTCTTGTAATGTAACTGCTTATTCTGTCTCGCCAGATGTATGCAAATGGCACAGACTTATGCCAGACTGCCTGGGGAGCATCGTTTGAGGTCAGCTCTTCTGCCTGCCACTGCCTTGACATGACCGAGACAGACAGGAATGTGATAAAGTACATTTTGGGTCAGGAGAACTCGGAGGAGAGTGGTGAACAGGAGGCTTGTAAGCCCAGGCTGCAGAAACTGCAAGAACAAGACGAGAAAGAGGAGGATGAGAATGACTGAGTCTCAGTGAGTATGAGTGAAGATAACCCATCAATGAGACAGAATATGGCTGAGTCTCAGATAGTATTAAAGGGACACTATACGCACCAAGACTACTTTAGCTTGGTGAAGCAGTTTTGGTGTATAGATCATGCCCCTGCAGTCTCACTGCTCAATTCTCTGCCATTCAGGTGTTAAATCACTTTGTTTATGCACACTAGCCACACCTCCCGTGGCTAAGTCTCACACAGACTCCCCATGCATTTCCTGTAAAGAGAGATCTAATTTTTACTCTTCACAGTCTGTTTAATTTATTTTCTTATCTCCTGCTCTGTTAATTGCTAGAGCTTGCAACATCTGTTTGTGTGTGATTAATAAGGAAAATTAAATTACATACTTACGTAGTAATTTTCCTTTCCTGACTATTTATGATGGCAGTATTACTTATAGGTAGCTCTGCCCCTAACCAGATCAGGACAGGATCAACCAATAAAAAAAGAGAGCAAGAGCGAGAGACTGAATGCATAAAAGGTCCCTTCTCCTTTCATACCACAGTTTAGTTAAAAAGAAAAGAAGGGTGGGAGATTGATTCTACCATGATAAATAGCCAGAAAATAAAATTACTAGGTAAGTATGTCATTTAATTTTCCATATTCCTGGCTAATCATGGCAGCATCACTTATGGGTAATACCAAAGCTGATAATTGAAAGGGAGTGAAATTTCTAAAATTAATTGACACAAAACTCTAATTGCTGCAAATGATATCTAATTTTTATTATGCATAGTAACTGCCGACAAGACTCTTTTTCCAAAGGAAATAGTCGAAGAATAAAGATCCAGTTTGTAGTGCTTAATGAAGGTAGTTGGAGTAGAACAAGTAGGTGCCCTATAGATGTCATCCAGAGAAACCTCTGCCTAGTTAGCCCAGGATGTAGCCAGGGATCTGGTGGAGTGAGCTCTAATCTTGGCTGGAGGAGTTAGTTTGTTCCGTAGGTAGGAGTCTGTTACAACGGAAGCTATCCATTTCCTTACGGTAGAGGATGAGGCTGCTTCTCTCTACGAAGTCCGGAAGGGAGTACATACAATTTCTCTTTTTTTCTGAAGTCAGAGATTAAAGATAGGTACTTAATTATATGTTCTCTCACATCGAGTTTCCGGTATTTCTCATCTTCTGGAGTAGATGAGGAAAAACAGAAGGAATGGAGAACCACTTCTTGAAACAGATGAAACCTAGATACTACTTTTGGAAGGAAGTCTTCTCTAGGTTTTAGGATCACTCTATCATGAAAAATAAGAGCATGAGAGACTGGAGGCACCGGGAACACTGTTTTATAAATGAGGCGTTGTATGGAGATATCCCGTAGTGGTACAAAGGGATATTCTGTTAAGGCATCCAGTACCATTGGTAAATCCCATGGAGGAGCAGTGTTTCTGGCTGGAGGGTGTAGACTCATTGCAGCCTTAAAGAATCTCAAGATGAGAGGGTGAAATGCCCATGAAGTATTACCAAGGGCAGATAGAGCTGAGGACTGTACCTTCAAAGTGCTTAGGTTTAGACCTTTGTCTAGGCCTGCCTGTAGGATTTCCAAAATATGGAGGTGAGTAGGGTGTTGAAATTCTAAGGATTTTTTTTTTTGCCCATTGTTTAAAGGTTTCCAAAATTCTGTAGTAGCAAGAAGAAGTAGACTGTTTCCTTGCTTTCAGAAGAGTATCAATTACTGCTTCAGATAGGCCTTGGTTAAGGAGGGATCTCATTTCAACAGCCAGGCCCCCAGGTTCCAACTGGATGGGTTGGGGTGAGTTGCTGGTCCCTGGATTAGAAGGTCCGAGGAGATCGGAAGTACCCACGAATTGGTTATGGACATTCTCAAAAGAAGGGGATAACAAGGTCCCCTGGGCAAGATCGAGATAATGGCCATCAGGTTCTTCCCTTCCTTCCAAATTTTTTTTAGTTCCCTGGGAATCAGAGGCAGGGGAGGGAACACATACCCCAGAGTTTAGAAAGGGCATCTTGACCCATGGAATGAGGGTCTTTGGAGAGGGAAAAGTAGTTTGCCACTTGAGCATTCTTTTTGTTGGCCATTAGGTCTATATAGGGTATGCCCCACCTCTTTGTGAGAGCTTGAAACACCTTGGGATTCAGGTTCCACTCCCCTGGTAATATGCGTGTTCTGCTGAGGAAGTCCGCCAGAATATTTTCCGTCTCTGGTAGGTAGATTGCATTTATCCCTTTGATATGAATTTGTACCCAGGTCATTAGGGGAGTTATTTCTTGAGTTTCTTGCTCCTTGTGCCTCCTTGGTGATTTATATATGCCGCCACCGTTCTGTTGTCTGTCCGTTTAGATAGCCATGGACTTTTGAGTACTCTGTGGAGTTTCCTTACGGCAAGATAAATGGTCCTTAATTCTCTTAGGTTTGAATGAAGGCTCCTTTCTGACGGTTCTTCTATAGGAAATCCTCTCTGTAGATTTTCCTGATGAAGTCACCATTCTAATTGATCTTTTACTTGGTGCGGAATTTGAATTATTTGTTTCCAGTTGTTGAGTTTGTGGTTGAATAATCCTATAGTCGAGGTTAGTGAGCCCAGAATACTCATGTATTCTTTAGCTGTGGTGGAAGGCTTGGGAAGGACTTAATGAATCTTGTTTTCTAGTCTCTTTATTCTTTCTTGTGATAGGTAGATCTTTGCTTCTATGGTGTTGATATATGCACCCAGGAATATTGCTTGTTGTGATGGCATTAGAGCACTTTTCTCCTTGTTGACAATCCATCCGTATTCTTGTAGACAGTTCAGAGTCCATATGGTGTGGTGAGAGGGTTCTTGAAGAGATGGAGCAAATATTAAAATGTCATCTAGGTAATGGAAGATGTTTAGACCTTGTTTCCTCAGATGTGCTATAAGGACTACCAAGATTTTTGAGTAGGTCCTTGGTGTAAGGCTTAAGCCGAAAGGAATGCCTTTGAACTGAAAGTGTCTTCCTGTAATATGAAATCGGAGAAACTTGCGATGAAGTGGGTAGATTGGACTGTGGTAATATGCATCCCTCAGGTCTACTGATGTTAGCCAATTCCCTCTGTTGATGTTAGGAATACTAGTGGATTTGGATTCCATCTTGAATGATAGGTGTTTTAGGAACTTGTTGGTTTTCTTCAAATCTATTATTAGTCTCCATTTCCCATTGGGTTTTGGGGCCAAAAATACTGTTGAATAGATACCTTTGTATCTCTCTGAATGAGGAGCATCTTCTATGACTGCTTGGTGAAGTAGTTTTGAGATGCAGGGTATCATAGCTTCCCCTTTTTCCCCTAGATGTTTTCTTGACTTTTTGAAGCAGTTGCTTGGAGGAAAGGAATCAAATTCTATTTTGTAGCCCTGATCGATAGACATGACCCAGGAGTCTGTTATATTTTCGGCCCAGACAGATAGAAAATGATGTAGACTTCCTACTAAGCAGTCTGCATGGCCCTGTAGAAGGTTTTCATAGGAACACAAGATCCCCTTCCTCTATTGTTTTTTGCTGATGATGAAGAAGGCTTCTCCAAGATGCATTTCTGCTATATTCATTCCTTGGTCAGTAAGATCTGTTCTCTCGAAAAGACCTGTCTCGAAACCTCTTGTCTCTCCATGAGGCTGTGTATGGGGTTCTCTTCCCTTGAGGCAGAAATGCTTTTTTGCTGTCTGTTGCTTTTTGGATAGCTTCATCGAGGATCTTTCCAAAGAGGAGATCGCCCTGGAAAGGAAGAGAGCAAAGGGATGATTTTGAAGAGTAGTCAACTCCCCAAGAGTGTAACCACAGAGCCCTTCTGGCTGAGACAGATAATGCCATGCTTTTGGCAATCAACTTGGAGATATCCAGGGATGCTTCTGAGCTGAAGTCTGCTGCAAGTCTGAAGTCCCTGAGGTTGTCAAGAAGGTGTTCTCTTCTAACTCCCCTTTGGATATCTTCTTCCTGGCTGTCTATCCAAACTTTAATAGCTCTGGATAAGGTGGTAAGGGATATGGTTGGGTGTAAAGCTGAGCCAGGAGCCAAATAAGCTTTTATTAGGTTAGCATCCAGTCTTTTCTCCATTGGTTGTCTCAAATAGGCCATGGCATCAATGGGAAGTGTGGTACGTTGGCTATTTTAATTACTGCAGCAACAATTTTTGGAATTATTATTTTATTATTTATATAGCGCCAACAAATTCCGTAGCGCTGTACAATGGGTGGACTAACAGACACATAACTGAGATCAGACCACTGACGTACAGGAACAGAGGGGGTTGAGGACCCTGCTCGATGAGCTTACATGCTAGAGGGAGTGGGGTATAGTGACACAAAGGGTTAAAGTAGGGGAATTACATAGTTTGTTACAGAAGGGTTTATTGAGTGCTTGGTAGGTCATTTTTGACAGGTGCAGGAATGGAGTCATGGGGTGGGGGATGAGAAACCAGCTGACAGTTTAATTGATACGCTTTAATAAAGAAGTGAGTTTTCAAAGATTTTTTGAAGGAGTGGAGGCTGGGTGAATGTCTGATTGAGGAGGGAAGGGAGTTCCACAGAATAATTGCAGTCCAAGTCTCGCAATCTTTGGAGGTAAATGGATAGATTCTGGGATTCTTGTTTTTGAGTTTTACTTTTTTTCTCTGGTTTTACCCATTCATTAAGGATCATTTCCTTTATGGATGTACCAGAAATGAGGGATTTGATGATCTTAGATCTTCAAAGAATGTGTCAGATTCTAAGGATTCTGACTTTTCCTCTTGGAATTTTAGAGTATTAGAAAGATAAGTTTCTTTACTGATTTGGAGTCCAAGGATTTAGGGCCATACTCCGTATCTTCCTCCTCTTCGTCAGTGATATCCTCCAAGCATTCCAGCTCAGACTCAGATGAGGAAGAAGAGGTTTCCGTTCTTTGACATTTTGTGGAGGAGATATTTTTGGTAGTAGCCGTGAAGCCTTCAGCTATGGCTTGAGATATCCAGTTTTTTAGTTCTTTTTGAGGAGAACTTTTGCTGGGCTGTCTATCTGCCACTTCTGTCATACAGGCTAGACATCGATTTTTACCCTCTGGAGCTGTATTATTGCAGGCCAAGCAGCGATTCGATTTATCCTTGTATTTTCATGGGGATCTATCCCGGCTCATGCAGTGGCTGCAAATTAAAAAAGGCCATGTAAGCAACTATGGGGCCCATTTGGCACTCTTTTATTCCCCTTACATATATACCAACTTTGGCTCACCTATGTTTCTTTAAACCTGAACGGTAGGAGGCAGAGGGAGAAGACATCTATAAAAGGAACAGAATAAAGTGTAATGTTGGAAAAAAAACTAAAATATTTTTTTTTCCTTTTAAAATATTTTAAGAGGAGCTAAATAAATTTTTACCTTGAAGCGATAAGAGACAGAATACGGGCAGTACCGAATAGAATACCAAATCTTTAGAAGGAACAGATTTGCAACTTGTCTCTTCAAGAACTGAAAGGAAAAACTGTATCTTTAAGTGAGGAGTGTTCGTGCGTGCTCAGACCGTTCGGTAGAACACAGCCATTTTCTTAGATTCGTTTGCGCCAATTTATGAGAACAAGGATATAAGCGAACTGATGCCAAGCCGGGAATCCCTTTAAAAGAACCAAACAAGGGAATACTTACCAATATGTGAGGCTTACCTATATGCGAGCATGTTCAAACTCCCGAATGAAAGATTTTCACCGAACCAGTAAGTACACAAAAGATATGAAAAAGGAGGATCGAAAAACTCCTGAATGGAATAAAGTAAATAGTCTTTCTCCCAGATTGCCTCTAGGTTCTGTTGGGGGAAATATAAGGCTTCTGATATTTCTATGGAGCCGTAATTCTCAAGTCTTAATATTATGACATAGAAGATTCAAACTACTAATTTTGAATCTGACCCAGTTAGTCCTGGTCATGCGGGCTGTTTACTGGGTCCTTCAGGCACAGAGAGGCTGAACTGGGCCTGGGAGACCCATGGTACACATAAGAAGGTGGCCAAAAAAGAGAAGTTGTAAAATTATACCTGTCTGGACAGGAAAAAAGACTGAGGTATGAAAGGAGGAGGGACCTTTTACGCATTCAGTCTCTCTCTCTTTCTCTCTTTTTTTATTGGTTGATCCTCTCCGTATCTGGTTAGGGACAGAGCTACCCATAAGTGATGCTGCCATAATTAGCCAGCAACGTTTATTTACCATGCAAGATAACTAACTTCTAAAGTAAACACTGTTTGCTGTCAAGGGAAGTGTGGCTAGGGCTGCATAAACAGAAACAAAAGTGGTTTAACTCCTAAATGGCAGAGAATTGAGACGTGAGACTGTAGGGACATGATATATACACCAAAACTGCTCAGTTAAGCTAAAGTTGTTTTGGTGCAGAGAGTGTCCCTTCAATAAAAATAAAGTGGAGACCCGTCTGATGGTGGGAAAAAGACTAATAAAGGGTTTATCCAGAGTTTCTTTGCAGAATATTACAATGAAAGAACGGGTCACTGAACTAAATTTACAGCTGTGGAGCCCCCGGTGGAACATTTTCTGTGGACATTCCAATGAAAAATGGATGTGGAGGCCCTAACCAAAGGGTCTCCCATCCTTGACATCTATTATAAAGGAATAGACCTAAAGTCTCCTTAAAGACTTAGAGGCTCTGTCACTTTACAGGTTTTTAAATTAATCCTTTTTGTCACTCGAGTTTTTCTCGTTTTATTTTTAATTCATCTTAGTTATTTTTTAGTTAAAAATAGGATAATGTAGGGACTACTTTTTCTCACGTGATCTTTGGCTAATTTCGGCAATGGGCGGGGCTTAAACAAAGTTCCATTTCAGTTGCTGAGCTAATTTACCCACAATCCATGATCAAAAGAATCCCACCGAGGGCAAACTGCAAACATCATGGAAGGTGTAGAACAAAATGGAGGCGCCCGGGTATTAAAGGGATCCTATAGTGCCAGAAAAACAAACCCGTTTTTCTGGCACTGTACGCTTCTGGAGTGCCCCCCTCCCACGGGGCTGAAGGGGTTAAAACCCCTTTAGCCACTTACCTGAATAAGACCAAATGCACATGTGCGTCAATGGCCGCTTGCGCATTAGACCTCCCCATAGGAAAGCATTATTCAATGGTTTCCTATGGGGAACATCTGACGCTGGAGGTCTGTTAGGACGTCCAGCTTCAGATAACGGACAAAGTGTCCATTTGGATTCCGGAAGCCCTCTAGTGGCTGTCTCTTAGACAGCCACAGAGGGCAGACTTAGAGCTGGAACTCTGGAACTGCAATGTTTTAGATTGCAGCACTAAGTGCAAAAGGGTCACAGCACCCAGACCTCTTCAATGAGCTGAAGTGGTCTGGGTGCCTACAGTGTCCCTTTAAGATTATATGGAAAGAAAGTTATAATGTAACGTTACCTCTCCGCGGCGATGTGCAATCCGAGAGGTGATGTCACTTCCGTTTTCAGCTCCACAACATTCCTGGCACATTATTTTGGTTAAAATAATCCTCACTATGCCGGTCTGCTCCCCTTTCCAATTAAATAAATAAAAATAAAAAAAAGTGGTCTGGGTGCCTACAGTGTCCCTTTAAGATTATATGGAAAGAAAGTTATAATGTAACGTTACCTCTCCGCGGCGATCCCAGAGGTGATGTCACTTCCGCATTCAGCTCCACAACATTCCCCGCACACCACAACGTTGCGGTGCGTCTCTCTGACATCAATGTTAAAGCTACATAGCGTTTGTTTATGAAGTCTGCACACATTGATGACATCACATTGCCCTGTATCCAATGAATACCCAGTATAGGATATAAAATACTTTCTAGCTATCACTATGATTTCTGTATACCGGTTTGTTCCCCGCGTCTGTCTACCTTTGTTATCCTTGACCTCAGCCTGCTCACGTTTACTCGGTGTCCGCTTGCAGATGTTCGTTTTTATTTACTCTGTGCTAGTCCGGCCGCTCTGCGGTCCGATACGCACTACTGTCCTGTCTCTACCAAGGTTTATGAGTTAGCGTCAAGTCATTCTTGGAAAATAAATATAAATAAATACAAGTAGTAAAGAGGGGAGTATAATCATTAAATCCCAGCGTCATTAGGAAAGGAAAACTGAAAGATATAAAAAACACTTTAATAGCACACCAGTATTAGGTGGTGCTTGTAATGAGTTTAATAGCAGGGCAGTGACAGACTAAACCATACAGCTCCCAGCTGTCTCCGGGATGAGTTTTCGTTATTCTTTGTTAACTGACTCGTATTTTACTGGCTCTGACTCTATTAAACTCTCTATATTGCTCTGATAATAAATCGCAGCCTAGGGCCACGGAGTTACTGTGTGACGGGCGGGCAGGCTAAACCAGATTGTATAACCAGATTGTACGTTTTTATATGATTATTGCCGGAAGTGCTAAACCACAGTTTATTTTCTTTAGAGAGGAGTGTCTAGCCCAGATTACTCACTAAGGACTGAGCTTTATTTAACATTTCGTGGAGATAAAGAAACAATCGGCTAATCTGGACGCGGTGCGCGCAGGGTGATTGCTTGAGGCATCTATGTATCAGCTGACAAAACAGAACTGTCAGCAGAAACTCTCATCACGCGATATCGTACAAACACGTGAAAAAAGCATTTCAAACCCTCCGGCACTGCGTGGGTTAAAGGATTGGTTTTGTTAGAGTTCAATGCAGGAGGAAGCAAAGCCCAACATGTAAAATATGTTACTTAGAATAGCTTTATTAAAGAAAATACTGAAAATGAGAATATTGCTGACAACAGGCGAACAATGGCGGCACGCTGCTGCCCATGTCCTCTTCCTCAGCCCGCACTCCCTGACATACCTCCCCCTCTAGCAAGGGGGAATGACGTCAGTGGAGAAGGACCAGTCTGCCAGTAGAACGTGGCCTGGGTGCTGGACTAGAGGTAAGTTGTAGCTTTATTTTATTTTTATTTATTTAATTGGAAAGGGGAGCAGACCGGCATAGTGAGGATTATTTTAACCAAAAACAGTGTTGTATGAAAACATTATTTTTTTTGGTTCGAGTAACTCTTTAATATATGGAAGGCAGAGTTAAAATAAAAGAGTAAAACAAATATTGCAAAAATATTTAATATTTAATTTTGCTTATTTGACACAAATGGACTTGTCTTCAGTTTTAGAAAACATCTTGTCTGTCTGTTTTATATTATTTGATGCATTTAGTTTTTTTGTATTATTCGTGTATTGTCTGTCCTTAACCTGTTCCATTGTCAACGCTTTTGGGAAATGAATCATTCCCAAATACCGGGGTCATTTTTAACAGGTTGATGATGGTATTTGGGAAGTAAATTCTGTCAAGCTCCCTATCCTCTGTGTACAACTCGGACCCGTACAAATCAAAGCATGGAGCCTGTGCATATAAGGAGGTTGGGAGGAAGAAGGGATTATTAATTAATGTGAAAATTGCTGAGCATGCCAAATATCTGAGTTTTAACCACACTATTTGGGCCTAATATGTATGAGTTATGGGCTTTATATGCGACAGCAAGCTGGGGGAAGATTACATTTCTTTTTTTACGTTTATGCTCACCTTGTGACATTTTATCATCATTCTCAGGGTTGCTCAGTATTCCATGACAATTCTGACCTTCACCTTGTAAGATCATTGCCCTTGCAGCATGTCAGGGAAATGTATGAAATACAAGGGATAAAGGGACAGTGAATGGTAGTGTGTATATATATATATATTCTCTTAGTCCAAAAATTCTGCTTCAGTAGTGTAAATGCTGCCTTTTCTAGTAACATTTACACTACTGCCTAAGGCCACTGCAGACAACCACTAGTGGATCTTCTTGGGTTTAGTCCTGCAAAGTCCTGCAATGATTGGAAGACCAATGTTCACTATCTCCACGTTCGTCATGGAGACGCTGAACGCTCCCCATAGACATGCATTGAGTCAATGAATCTCTATAAGGAGATGCTGATTGGTCCAGTGCATATGAACTAGTGTCTCAATGCATCCCCATGGGAAAGCATTGGATTGGCTGAGATCATCAGAATGGATGATCTTAGCCGGGGAGGCAGGGCAGCCGCCAGGGGAAATAGGGTAATTAAAAGATTTTTTATTTTTTTTATACTACTTTTGTGGGTGCGGATATCTAAGTAGGTAGTATAACACAACACTAGTAAGAATACTATTTTCCTAAAGCTAAAGTGTTCCTTTAAGAAAAGAAGCACTTCTGTGACTATTATTTTTACATAGCCTATGAAATATTTCTCACTAATTATAATACTATTGGATTCTGCGCCATTAATTGAAAAAAAATAAAAATTAATGATGGTAAGGAAATATCCAGACTAAGTGAAGTGTCTGAATAAAATTTACTTTAAATCTGAGAGAGGAACATGTGGCTCGGTGACTGCTGAAAGTTGAGTAAAGTACAAAGGGGAACCTTTATTACAGGGAACCTTTATTGTAGCAATCTCATTGTTAAGATTTACGAGGGGAATGAATTATTGACCCTGACGCATTTTGTGCCCTCTTTGGCACTTCATCAGAGACTGCCTTTTTTTTCTCCTTGCTTCTTGTGGATTGAGACATTATTTTATCTCCTGAGACCGAACTTGTCGCGCAAATATATATTCCATCCATTCTAAAAATAGAAGTGGTCATGGTGATTGGACTGACATTGTAACTTTATATATAGGTACAGATAGCAAATGTTTTACATTAGTGATATTTTTTCTCTTGACACAGCAAACATAGCAGGAGAAGGTTTGGCACAATGCTATATGCTTACCTGGTACGTTTCTCTCCCCAGGATCCACCTGACTGGAGCATTCGATGAAGGAACATGGCGACGGCTGTAGACAATTTAGTAAATTCTTTATGTGAACAATATGAGGAGTTAACATATAAATACAGAATTACTGACAGAGTGTCGTATTTTATTTCTTCGCTATAAATCCAATTTAAAAAAAAACAAAGATTATTCACGAGAGCGAGTTGGTTTGTGAAGAACAGACAACCAACATTCAGGATAAAATAGCACAGCGTGGAAAATAAAACCAACCCAATTTGACTTTTATCATTTATCATAATCACAGCCTAAATTGGAGGATAAGGCTGATCATTCTGTCCCTTTAGTGAATCAATGTATCAGGCTTGTAACAGGACAGCCTTATTTCTAGAGTTCCCAGATATTAAACAATGGAAAGTAAAAGCAGTTTAATTGTCTGAAAGTATTAAGACTTCACTACAAAGCGATCTGGACCAGGACTGGGATTTTAATTGTGTTCTAGAAAGTGATAGTACAAACAATGTGTTATTCTCCTTGAATGAGCAAGTCTGAAAAAGGCATTAAAGGGACACTATAGGCTGCTTGATGTAGTTGTTCTGGTGAGTATAGTCAGTCCATGCAGGCATTTTCAGAGAAAAGGCAGTGTTTACATTGCTTGCCTGGGACACCTCCAGTGGAAATCACTCAGCTGTCCACTAGAGGTGCTTCCTAGTCCAGTGCTGCACATTGTGCAGCACTGACTTTCACATTGGAGACACTCAACGCTCCTCATAAAGTTGCATTGACTCAATGCATCTCTATGAGGAGATGCTGATTGGCCATACTGGCTGAGATTGTCAATTCTGATGATGTCAGCCAAGGAGATGGATCGGGGGCAGGGCAAGTGCTGAATAAAGGTGAGTTTTTATCTTATTTAAGGAGGCAAGAGTGGTCGGCTACCTACATAGTTAGTTTAACACTATAGGGTCAGGAATACACGTTCGTATTCCTGACCCTATAGTGTTCCTTTAAAGTCAATATTTTCGTGGCTTTCCTATTTTGGTGTTTATACTCCCGCCAGCCAGTGTTCGTACTTCTGACGCTCGGCAAACCGTAGCTGCTCTGCTCCTGTCTCTTGACAGTTATTGATTTATGTTCAGAATCCTCTTGATGGCTGGCGAGAGCATAATTAACAAGTACTTCTCTTTGTATTAATCCCCAAATAACCCCCGATTTCCATTAAAGCTATTGACGATTTGCTTAAAGGCGATTAAATCACTCCATTAACTTTTATATGGAGATAGTACGGCAGTTTCTTTCATCATCCGGGCATAAAAATGTGGCTGTTGTGACACCATCTCTGATGAAATTCTGGAATAAAATGTGAAAGCTGGGTCATGTCCTTCATCAGCAAGCAACATGCGTGAGGGCAATGCAGGGGGCCACGTATTTTACACTGCCATACCACCAGGGTGGTCTTTTCTCCATTTTTATGTAAGATACAGTCTAGGAACAAGAGAGAACAATATATTTAACCTGGAAAATAAATCGCTTAATGCTTACAATAAAGGGTGGCAGGTCAGGTGAATGTGGTCCTGGAGATTAAAATGACGAGTATCATTACTGCGCCAGATACTGTAATGATGTGGGGTACTCTCTGACGGAGCTTTAGTGTTAGGTGGGCTGAACGTTAGGGGGCTTTCTGGAGGGATGCTGTGGATTGTAACTCGGGTTACAATCCACTTGGTTTGACTGAGAATCATGGGTTGTACATTTTAAATATGGCTGTGGCGATGTATTTATGAATATAGCAGTATTAGGGATGGTTACCTTTAACACTGATTCAGCTGCAGTATTTTAGCTGTATTTCTCTGTCTGTGGGAAGGAGTTGGGAGTAGATTAGCGCAGAGCAGGGTTAGGACCGCAGCGATGAGAGACAGTTGTCAGAAGATATTAGCTGCGATTGTTCTCAGCCTGTTTCCAATGAAAGAATAAAATGTTTCGCTGACAATGTAAGAAATTATGGCACAGCTCGATGTTTACAGAATGACACAAGTGAGAATAATCAGACAATGAAATTCCCTTCACGCCGTCAGAGAACTTGTCACGCAAATATATATTCCATCCATGTGTGTTCTGAAAACAGCAAGATGTAACTACAATCAACTAGCAGCGAATCGGCGTACACAGACAGTGCCTAAACCAACGCTTTTACTCACTAAATGCTGAATTGTGGGGAAATTAGAAGATAATGGGAACATTTAGGCTAATAGTGAAACTCAGTTATTGTCACCAAATGTAAATATCTGGGGTGCCAATGTTGAAGAGGAGCTGTCCCTCCCCAGGATTTGATTTAATAAATATGTATTTGCAGGATGTTAGAAATAAAATTAATGAAATGCAGAAACCCACCCCTCTTTATCCTGTAACTGGGCACCTCCATCTTGGCTCCCTGTCAATCATTGTTATAAGCTCCGCCCTTTACACCTGGCAGTCAGCATTGAGAGAGCATACGGAGAAGATGAGAAATTAAATGAAGGTCACGTGTTATTATTATCATTTATATAGTGCCAACGCATACCGCAGCGCTTTACAATAATACATTGGTTATATAAAAAAAACACGTAGATAAACTGACGCATTGGCTTCCATGTTTGTGATCATTTTGTGTGCATGCACCAATTTCTCACGTATAAACACGTTACTCAGTACTTACCTCCCAACTGCGGTGTCCTGTGAAGTGGGAAGCCGGTGGGAAGGGTTAAAGAAGGCAGGCCAATGAAATGATTGTGTCACTGACTCCACCCAAAGCGGCAGACCCCCTTCCTCCCCCGGAAGGGACCGTGCAGGGAACACTGTTTCAATGCTACCTGCAGGGTCTGAATACCATAAGCATAGCGCAAGTGGGTCTAGAGCAGGAATAGACAACCCTCGCCACTCCAGATGTTTTGGACTACACCTCCCATGATGCTTTGCCAGCCTTCTGGGTGTAAGAGCATTATGGGGGAGGTAGTCCACAACATCTGGAGTGCTAAAGGTTGCCTATTCCTGGTCTTATTCTAAGTTTGTTTTGCACAACTAAGTCTGCACGGTGGGACAGGGCCTAAAAGCCGGGACTGTCCCATCAAAATCAGGCTGCTTTCATAGTTCATAGGAAGTGGTAGAAGGCAAGGCAACCTCCCTGCATTCCATACAGTAGCCCACTTCTAAATAAAGGACTATAGAGTCATTGCGCCAACAGGCGTAGAGTGATCTGCAAAAACAACTGCTGAGCTTTGAAGGAAGACTAAAGAATAATCCATTTCTAATTATTAGTTAGCTATTGGTTTATAGAGAAATCTTGTAATAATCGCTCAGTTAAACTAGCATGGCTACAGAAATGATCCAGTAAACATGAGGGTTGGAGTTCTCAGAACCTGTCCCTGGCACAGATCTCATTCCATTTATTGTTATGATTACACATTTCTGAAATTTTGTTTTTATTTCTTAGAATCATTGTGATTCTATCACCCAGCTTTCTAATGATTCGCTTAGGTTTCTCCTGTATTGGTTTGATGCAGTTCTAGCTCCCTCTGCTGGAGATAAAAGCCATCAACATCCAGTAAATGCTTTATTTAGATAGAAAGTAACTGCACACAATGCACAAGGTGATCATTTAGAATGACTTTAACTTTATCAGGGCCACAGGCAGAGAGATTTCAGAAGGACCTCTCTGTAATACAAATAATAGATTTATTAACATGAAAGATTAAGAATAGAATACATATGCACTTTTTTAGTTTATTAAATACCCTTTGAAGTGATGATGTGTCACCCTTTCCCCTTCATCCTGTGTTAGGGCTCAGACAGCTGAGCACATTCACAAATTAATTTACTGTAAATATTTCCAATATCTGTAGTATGATTACAGGGCACAGCATGCGCAGTTAGCCCTGTAGTACCTTAGTCGTCTACTTTTGCAGGATTGGACAGATCTAAGGGAGAGAGCAGGGCAGAGTGTTTCGGAGTCTGGGACATTCAATTATACAATTATATACAATTATAAACGAGCATTTGTTCCTCTGTTAGGCGTCCAATAGAGAAATGTCTGCTCCTATGGCAGCTTCACCTGTAATTAAACTGCTAAAATGAAACCAGCTTGGCCACAAAACACGTCCAAACTGGTGATTACACTGCATGAAATAAAGGAATTTAATTTTCCTATTTACATCTCAGTTAAAGAGAACTCTTAGCACCGTGACCATTCTAAGGCAATAAAGTGCTTATAGTACTAACAGGTGGCTGGTGCTGTCTCCCTGGTTCTATGTCAAACCAGCAATATGACACAAACTGGGGATTCCCGACGCACCCCTCCCATATTACCAATTATACTTCTGCATTTCAATGTCACTACGACCCATGATTAGATGGCATTAATTAGATGTGCATGTCGGGTCTGGTTATGGTGCAAAGAGTACGGCAAGTAAAGCATATAGCAATGTTGCAGGAGCCAGGGACTCCAGGAACCATAACCATTTCAATCAGTTTAGGTGGTTATGGTGCCAAGAGGGTTCCTTTATTGACTTTTGTTCAGCTCTAAAACCTGTTCATTGAGTATTATCTCAGTATCTTTTTTGCCTTTTTGCCCTGTGAATCTTAACCCTTTCCGCCCTCTGAATATTACCCCGTTTTGATCACTTTTCTTATAGTAAGTGCTAGGGTGTGTTTTTTAATTAAGGTGGTGTGCCGGAGTTAATTTATGCAGCAGTCAATCTGCATGTCCACTCCTTTCTCCCCTTACCCAAGGCTCTATGCAAAACAAATAGTATTTAAATGCATTCCCTTGATCATAAACAACAATTCCAATACATAACAGAGCTATTCTGTTATCTATGCTATGTCAACAAACTTTGCCTTTCCTCCACCCTACTCTTACGTGTCCATAGTTCTTTTCCTCTAGACATGAGTGTTAAATTGGGTTAAAGTGCGTCTTTCACTTTTCTCCAACCAGTCCCAAGGCAGTGGAGCAAGACCTGAGGGACTCCATTCTGGAATCCCAACATCTTCAGGTATCTCCAGACCCAATCCCTGTAGAAATAGCCTTGGGTCGGTGCTTGGTAGCAGGATGGATGGCCGTCTTCTCTTGAAAATCAAGATCTTAATGGGCATCCCCAATCAAATTTCCTGTTGTGAGATCTAAGCAAATTTTTTATTGGCTTCAACTCCATCTGTTTCTGCAGTGTTGTCGGTACAAGATCTTGAAATAATTGTAGTTTGGTTCCCTTGTTTGTATAGGCAGATTCTCTGCTCCTCCGGACTATTGCCTCCTTGGTCTGATAAAAATGGAGCCTTCTTTTCTGGTTGGGTAGATTGCAGAGGGCTATGTTGAGAACTCAGTGTCCTGCTATTTTAATTCTATTTCCCTCTGTGTCAAATTTAGTGTGTCTGTGAGTATGTGTGTGTGTGTCTGTCTGTCAGTGAGTATGTGTGTGTCAGTGTATCTGTATGTGTGTGTCTGTCAGTGAATATGTGTGTGTGTCAGCGGGAGGATCAGATTTGGAACACGGTGGTAGAGGGGGGTGGTGTGGTTTAGTAGAGGGGGATGCTGGTTTTTTTTATACTGTATTTTTTAAAATAAACCTACGTTTCTATGAAAATGTATTATTTTGTTTTTTGCGGCTCACATAAACCTAAACCTTGTTTATGTGGCCCGTGCCAGACTTTGAGTTTCACATGCTTGATATAGGGTATTAATATTGGAGCTGCATAAAAGCTGCCACTTAGGGTTTATTTAAAGATACAATTCACTATTATTATTCACAAAACAACGGCATATTCCACAGTATAGTACACTAGAAGGACTAACAAACAAGTAGTTGCAGCAAGACAAATTGGACATACAGGAGCAGAAGGTAATGTGGGCCCTGCTCAAATTAATTTACATTTTATTAAAATGGGCCTGAGACTCCTGGCAGCTGGATACGCTAAGTGTGAGCTCTGAGCTTGAGCTGACTATTTTGCTGCAATATCACCTTCAGCCCGCCCATTCAATTTACAAGGAGACTTACCTGTCTCAGGAGCCAGCCGACGTGCTCTGGACCAATCTCACAGAGTGCCCTTCTTGAGTCTCACTGAAGCTCTGGGGGGGTGCTTGGTGAAGTCAGACGTGGTGAGGCGGCCAATCTCCAGTCTTGCACGATGCTGTGCCCTCACAAGGATATCCTGCTACTCCGTCTCCCCCTTCTTTGGACCGGTGGGTTCAATCCTTGCCCCAACTATCTTAAGGCATACATTGGAGCTATATATTGATACCATACCTGCACAAATTCTGACCACAGTTTCATCAACCAAGATGGCAACCTCACCTGCGTCTCATGGCCACTAGATTATCCTGCTTGAGAAGGTTTACCATGCTCTTGTTTCACAATCCCTGAGGCACCTACATGAGATCTTTAATAATTTCTGGGTCTCTCTGGAACCATGACAGGCTGCTTCAGTCTCAAGATGGAGAGTGGAGGAGTGAGAGCCGGCAGAAGAAGAGGCCCCCTTGGGCACACAACCTTCTCAAGCAGAAGTACCTGTTCCACTAGCCTGCCTGGGCCAAGGGCCATCAGGGGTGCAACCGCAAGGCATTGTCTACACGGATGGGAGGCTGACAGCAGCCAGTAGTCCAATACCATCAAGGTCTTCTGTTACCTGACTTCAGGGAAGGACTTGGACTCCTTGAGCCCCGAGTCCGTAAAGATGCCAGCCAGCATACAGACCTGGAGCTGAAGGGATGCCCTGATTTACTTCTATGTTGCTGTTTTCTTCCATAAACCCTATAGCTTGGGAATTGGATGAATTTGGTCTTACCGAGCCGAGCAGCCAACCAACTACCTATCTTAGCTTAGTTACGTATATACCCATTAAATGTTCATTGTGCAGACATGCTCCCTTAGCCTGAGTGATAAACACATTTCTTGTATTTTTGATACGTCAATATGTATGGTCTATACTTTGCCTGTAACCTTGTTTTACTCAGTATGATTCATGTTAGCATGTTTAAACTTATATCATACTTACCATGTTAAACGTTTCTACAGTGGCTGAATGATTGCGTTAGACATGTTTGCATAGCTTGATAATTATTTATTTATTTATTTTGTTCTGTATTACTGTCAGGATACACTTAATGCCCAACACACAGAACTGAAGTAACAAAGAAACAAGATAAATAAACCCTAAAACGTAATACGGTATTCGGAGCAGGACTGACAGACACCGCTGGAGAAAGTAAGCGTGAGCCAGCAGTGTTACCATTTCCACGTGGGAACCGCTGAAACGGTGTGCATCCGCCTCAATATAAGAAAGAATGACAAAAAAATTATAAATGTACCTGCATTCTGGGGTAAATGTATGAGGTATTGACATTATACAGAAACAAAAGGAAGGACCTTAAGGATTTTTATTAGAAATTCTTGTGTCTTCCTCTTTGGAAAAAAAATCCCATTTTTATTTCAGCCATCATTTTGTTTTAATGAGTGATGGCTGACCCACACCTTAAGACCAGTGAAGGAAGTGACTTGTCATTGGTCTAAAGAGCATGGTGAGTGGCCAAACACCACCATATACATGCCAACATCTGGAAACTGAAATATCTGGAAGAGGAGAGTGAATACCAAGCAGATCAGCTTGCTGGTACTTAAAAGAAATGTTTATAAAATAACCAACATTACAGGAGCTTTAACATTTACATGGTGAGCATTTAAGAAGCCTGAACCCTGGAAGCGGCACATTTATTGTTGTGCTATGTGCATTCACCATCCTTCAATAACTGAAACTATTCCTAGACATAATTTGGGTCACGTTGGGGCATGTACATTGATACATGGAACGGTACTGATCTCTCAGTATGAAGAATCAGGATGAAGTTAAAGTACCACGCCAGGCCCTATACAAACTTCATCTCAATGTCTTTATAGAGTGTGGCAGTCCTGGGCACCATCTTACCTTATGGGGTAAATCATTTTCAAACAATTTAACCCCCAAAGTTCTCTTGACAACAACCATCTGTACAGTTCATAATTTTCAAAAAACATTTCTCTCTACTATGGTCAACCAGTGATAGGCTTACAGGGCCAGGTAAGTTCTAGAGAACTTTGGAGTTAACCATTAAAAATAGTTTAATCCTTTAAAGATGGCGCACAGAACCTTCAGAATCCAAAACCAGTTCATGGAGTTGTAATGGGTCTTAAAGTGCTCCTTTAATAATCATCTATATTTTTAGCAGTCCTGTCCTCTGTTATGCCAGCTTCTCTCTGTGCAACTTACATAATATCGTTTCATTACGAACTCGACTCTCCACCTTTTCTCCCATTTTGTATTGTTGCGAATCCTGTCCTTTAGCCACTTCAAAATCTTTGCTGCCTGCCCTGCCTGCCTGCAATGAGCTCTGTATTTGTCACTATGCTGGGAGATTCTTCTGCTGCCTGAAACATCTCACAACTGCGGCCAACTGATCAGAGGCCAAATCTGGCATTTCCAAGCCAGACATGTGACAAATTCAATAGTAAATAGTGGGCACCATTAGATAACTGGCTGTGTGTAACAGGGGCATTCAACACCTTCTGCAAAGTACTTGCAAAGAAGGCATAGTTCCACTCATCCTTTAATATTTCTGCCTAGAGGATGGATAATTGCTATAATTTATACTGTGCCATGGAGTAACTTTATAAATAAAAAATATTAACCATAGTTTGGCACAACTCTAAATCTTTCATAATTTTCACTACATTTCTCAATAAACTCCAGATTCACAGCTTAGAACAAACTGAACTTGTCTGACTGTTCAGTATTTCCATTTGCCCTGGGTGACCGCACTGAGGATTTTCTATTCACAAGGGGATAGTATGCTAAATTAAAAGGACAATGTATCACATGATATCTGAGCCACTCACAGTTCTTCCTCTCCTTATAAAAGTAGCCACGAACCTGCCAAAAATGGTGATATTATATCTACAGAAAATGCCGGAGGATTTGTTAATTGCTCATGGATTTATTTAAAAGAGTTTAATTTCTAATGAAGCAAACTGCACAATTTAAAGGGTTACTCCAACCACCATGACCACTTCAATGATTTTGAGTGGTTACAGTGGTGGACGTTTGGAAGTGCAACGTCTCTGCTTGAAGCGCTGCACATTTAGAGATATTTTTGCATGTGTGCAAGGGGCTAGTAACCCCCTCCCCTGGCACACATGACGTTGGTAACCCAGAAATCTGTCTCAGAAATCTGTCCCAGATGCAATTTTGTGCATATTTTATGCCTGTCATCAGCGCTGGCAACAGATGTAATTTTCTTGCAGTCAGGCGCCTGCACGGGGAAGCGCACTCTCTCCTTTGTGCTTTCCGCCCCACCTCCCTCCATTACTTATATTGTGTGTATGCGCTCTACGCCATTGAAACAGTCGGATCACAGGCTTCCCCCTTTGATTGGACTGCGCAAGGCCCTTGCTCATGTCAGGCAGAGGAGGGAGATCGGCGAAGGGAACTTTGCTCAGAGCTGAATTACAGGTAAGTTTAAACACTTTTATTTATGTTTTAAGAGGACAGCTACAGGCAGTACCCAATAGGGTATTGCAACACCGAAAATGTAAACTTACCTAAAGGGTTGGAGTAACTGTTGAAGAACCACTAGAGTCACCCAGGCCTGGGTAGTTTTTTTTAGAAACTGCAATGTTGACAAAGAAAACATGATCTGGGTGCCATGACTCTGTCTTTTTAACCCTAAACTGAAAACATTGCTGTTCAGTAGACATGGCAATGTTAACATGCCTTTAGGCCCTAGCGTGTTTTCGTGACAGCCACTAGAGGCACTTCTGCCCTATTAGCAGAGTTACAATCATCTATTCAGTCAGTTGAACATTAACACATAACAAATAACATTAAAACTATGCTAAGATGTTAAGACACAACTTCAAAACTAGCACTCACAATGTCTTGCTCCAAGATCCACACTGACGTACATGAAAAGGGAAAATAAAACAAATTGGAAGGCAGGGTCTGAAGTTGTGGGAGGGGCTATATCCCTTTAAAAGGGACTCCCCCTCCTACCTCATTCACCTTCTGGTCCAAATGCTCGTTTGGATTGCAGGTCCCCAGCGTGGTTTCAGTTTCTCCTGACAGCTGCATTTTCAAAGTTTTCCGCCGGTTTCCCTACTAAACAGTGAGTTGGCAGACTGGTATCATTGTACCTACACATAGCCTGAGCTGCCGAGGTCCACGGCTACAGTATTGTGGGGGACAGAAACCCCCTCGTCAGGGCTGAATCGGCTTGATTCCCGCCGGGGGATCAGGCCTCATGCAGACCAGCCCTCCCTCCCCCTCATCCCCCCTGCCGCCGCTCACTGCACAGCAGCCGGCTTAATTCATTTGGTAACCCAGCTCCTAACCCCCTCTCACTAAACAGCAGCCGGTTCAAGTTTAAATGTGTGACCGGGCTCCTAACCTCCCCCCACCCCTCACTTCACAGCAGCCGGCTCAATGTATTGTAAGACCCGGTTCCCCAGGCTCGTGGCAAGTAACGGTAATACACTTAAGACCCCCCACGGATTTAATTCACGGGGGTCTGCGGTTTCTGCCACAATAACCGCACGAGTGGGGAAACCAACCCGCCCCCCACCCCAACCTACAAGTGCCCTTTCTCATATAAAAACTATTGGAAAAAAAAAATACAGCATTTTAAAATTAAAGAAGTTACTAATTTTGCCAGGCTCCTTGATGCCCTTCGTTAGGGTATCAGCAGCTTACAAATCTCTCACCCCACAGTCTTACTTACCTACAGACGGGGGTTTCACTCACACGGGCAGAGCTCCCTTCACAGCCCTTCACAGCAATGCTGACGGCAATACAGGTTGTAACCACTAGAGGTCGCCCTATAAATAGTAATGTTACCTGGTATAGTTCAAATTCTGTGATATGTGTTAACAATGGCATTATTAAAAAAGGGTCAGATTTATATTTTACTTTAGGAATATTAAAGTATTCATTTAATTCATGGACAACCGGTTACGTATACATTTGTGGAAACAACTGTTTAAAGCACATAAGTCAGATATGAGCTGCTGTCGGGCACTAAATTGTGATGTAATTATGTGACTACTCTACCTGATATGTGGAGCTATGTGACTCAAGAATATATACGATATACTCACATCACGGTTTCAATTAAATCTTCAGAATTACTTGCGTGGTTATAGACAAATTGCAAGTTAAAAAATATCTTCCCTTTATTTGGGACCTGGTATACTGATTCCCCTGGCAGGGTCAGAGACCGAGACAAAGTATTATATTGCTTCCTTGGTACGTACAACATATGGGCGACGTATGTTCCATTAATCAGACATATGACACTCAGTGTATATGCTCACAAATGTAGGCCAAGTGCACTCTGTGCCAAGCAGATATTTGTGGCACTGCCATAACGGTTTTAACATGTGTTACAGTCTCAAGAACCAAATTAAGACGGACTTGGCCTTCAGAACCTACTTGCACGTAAACTACAACCATAGCACCGGGTTTAGGCCATCCTCCCTAACAGTAATCAAATTACGACAGGACTACCAGGCAAACGTTGGGCACTCAGGTAAGTTATCTCGGTTGCAGCAACCAGTAAAAGAAACATCAACATGCCAACTTAAGCAATTCTCCTCCCAGGCACCTTCTGTCATAGGGTTAGAGGTCCCGCGAGGCCAACTTCCATCCTCGATGTAAGAGGTATTAAACCCCCACGGGCCAAATCATAGCTAGACGCCTCGCATGTTGCATAGCTAGGGCGTCATCCGTCATAACCCTCAATTAACGATAAAATCTCCACTTGTAAACCATGTACAGCAGATCAACCCCACGCGCCAACCATAGTTAAATCCTACTAGCCACTTGGCATTTAATAGGGACTCACCTGTCACAAGTTTAATGAATTCTTTCGCCACTTTGGCACTAGTTAAACAACATTTTACACCCTCCATAATGAAACTCACGATCACATACGTATATATATTTCAGTATGTCTCAAGTTCATGAAGAAGGAGATGAACTATCAATGCCTAGTACACCAACCAGGACTGCCACCCCCACACGCAAAGGGGACATTGGCAGCCCGTCATCTATTAGATCATGGACCATCCCACGGATCACGGCCGAACTACGCAAACATAGTATTCCTTATCCAGCTACGGCCCGCAAGGCAGAATTGTATAGGCTTATGCAAGCCAATCAGGACAGTTCTGACGCCAGGGAAGGCACTAGGAATTCAAGCAATGCTAATCTGCATACCATGGTTGCCTCACTAGTGTCTTCCATGGGGCAGATTAATGAGAGACTGGAAAGACTGGAAGCTCGTAGCGGTCCAGTTGTGATACCAGAGCCACCCGCTATCGATATCCCAGGGCCATCACAAGCCCAACCTGGTAATCCTAATACCCCCACCATCCTTGGGTCACAAGTGATCAACCCAGCCCATATGGTACCAGCAAACCTTAAAAAAGACATCCTGGAGGGCAAGGATGTAAATCTAGTCTCTCTGCTTATTGCCTCCCAGGATATCACAGAAAACCGTGCATAAACGTATGGCGATATTTCTGTGGTCCTCAAGGCCAGAGATCCTAGACTAAGCAAAAATCTAGCAATCCCAGACTTTATCGCATTCGGCATTTACAGGGACGTACGGTGCTCAGTTTACCCACAGAGAAGGGAAGAGTTAGACCTGTACATGCACAAGCTGGTAGACCTGGGCAACAAATACGGTGGGTCATCATTTTACGACTACCACAGTTCTTTTTCAACTAAAGCGGCAACAGCTCTCGCCCAGTATAACGCAAGAATGGATTGGAGCCTAATAGATACAGAGCTGTTCCTCAGGCACTTTGCCGGGCTAAGGTCTCCAGCTTGTGCAATATGTGGGGCTACCACGCACGCTGCAAATCTCTGTCCTGTCTCCACAGACGATGCCCCAAATATGCCACACCAAGCACTTCCAGGGCAGAGACAAGCTGGGTCGCCCTATTGTGTATTTGGGCAAGTCACAGATATGTAATAATTTTAATGTTGGGACTTGCTCCTATAGTGCTTGCCGTCTGTTGCATATCTGCTCCCATTGTTTCAGGGCACATGCAAAGGCTATGTGCCCTAATAAAATGCACGTTAAACCCTACCTAACTACTGTGAATGTTGATGTTCTGGCAGGGCTTCCCTCCAAGCACCCTTCTACAGATCTTGTGGAATATTTGATTGCAGGGTTTTCCCAAGGGTTTCATACTGGCCTCATTTACATACCAGGGGGTACATGGGAAGCCAACAACCTCCAGTCCGCCCTTGGTGACACAGACGCAGTAGACTACCTACTACAAATAGAACAAGACCAAGGATTTGTCTTAGGTCCATTTATTGACCTGCCGTTCTCTAATTGGAGAACAAATCCCATTGGACTAGTCACTGGGAAAACATCTAACAAACAAAGACTCATTATAGACCTGTCCACACAACATGCTTCGGTGATACCCAGCCTAAATTCCCTGATCCCGTCAGAGGCATTCTCTTTACAATACACCACCATAGACGACGCCATATCCACCATCATCTCAGCAGGCATAGGCGCATGGTTGAGCAAAACTGACGTAGTTAACGCCTTTAAACTACTCCCCATACACCCGTCGCTTTGGCATTTGCATGGTATCAAATGGAGAGGCCAGTATTACTTCTTCACAAGGCTCACCTTCGGATCCAAGAGCAGTCCTAAAATATTTGACACTTTCGCAGAGACCTTGTGCTGGCTGCTCCTGAATACCAGCAGGTGCCATAGCGTCATTCATTACTAGGACGACTTCCTTTTCATAGAAAATAACGCTGCCCCCCCTAACAGTTTACACAAAGCCATACACTTATTTAACACCATTGGAGTTCCAGTATCTCCCACCAGGTTTTTGGGTATACAACTTTGTGACGAGGTGCCCTTCGCCACTTGTGCCTGGAGAGGACTGCTTGCCCGCCTCTTGCCCTGTGACTATGGCCCCTGGGATGTATTGCCCTTTAAAGAAATGATTTGGGCATAATGGATTTGTGTTGTGCTGCTGCTGGCCCTTTAAGAACCATCTGGGGACATACTGTGGAGTTACTGGGTGGCCACCATTTCCTGTATCAGAAGCACATGGTGAGAACAATGGATGGCGGCCATTTTAACTCACAGACACTGTTTGGACTTTTCAACACGGTGCCATCTCGCCAGTATTTGGTGCACAGAGACATCGTGCAGTGGTTTTGGACTATACAGCAGGGGACACATTATAAAGTGATTGTTTTTCATTTAGCCTGAACGGATCTGGGTGAATTTTGGATATGTGGTTCACCCAGATCCCCCGGTTCCAAGGATATACTTTTTATGGGGTTATTGTATGTTTTGGGGTCCCTGTGTGTTTTATGAAACTGTATTATTTCTGGCCAACAGATAATTGAGCTTTGTGTATTGTAGAAACTCAATTATCTAGCCTGGCCCAGAGGAGGAGTTTTGTGTTGCATAAATTGTGAGTTATGTGTGCCAGTAAATCAGTCTTGTTCCAGCATTAAGCCTTGGCTCATGTTTGGGGGAAGGGATACCTACACTCTGGGGATTTCTATAATCACTTACTCCCCAGAGGAAGCTCTTGCAATAGCTTGATTTGTTCCTGTTCCTGCTCTCTGGGGAAAGAGAGGTTCACCCACTGGAAGCTGGATCCTGGCCTTGGGTCCAGGGTGGGTGGAAACAGCAGAGACCCCGGCGCAGTTGCATCGCTGGAAGTGGGGTCTGCAGTGCTGATGGTGTCGGTTGGAGTGCTTGGAGTCCTCAGCGAGCACTAGGAGCATCGATTGGCGGAGGTACTCAGTCGGAGTGCCAGCGTTCCGTCACAAACTGGACTCCATAACTAAGGAAGCCAGCCTCCCTAGAGATAAGATTGACAACATCACTCAGACCATTCAGCAGTACTTGCGCATAGGCTCATGCAATAGGAAAGAGCTTCAGTCACTGATTGGCTCGCTAAATTTTGCCATCCGTATTATACCCCAAGGAAGAGCATTCATTTCCAGACTCCTGTGCCTTCTTCCGACACTAACTGACGAACACAAACGTACCACTCTTGATATGCAAGCCACAGCAGACTTACACATGTGAAACGTGTTCCTGTCAAACTGGAATGGCAGGAGCATGTTCCTCCCCCAAGTCACAGAGTATTCCCCTACCATTTGGACTGATGCAGCAGCCTCCACAGGTTTTGCAGCTATTTTTGGGGACAACTGGCTATGGGGTAGATGGCTGGAAGAAGTTAAGCAAATAGAAGGCTTTTTTAGGAATTCTGCACTCTTTGAAGTGTACCCCATAGTAGCAGCAGCAGTCACATGGGGACAGTCTTGGGCAGGTAGACCAGTTCGATGTTTTTCTGACAACTTGGCGATTTGTCATAAACAAAGGCCGGTCTACCTCTCTAACCATCATGAGTTTTATCAGACGTCTTTTACGTGGTTGGCGGCCTGTCATCAGTTTCTTCTAGTATGTTACCATGTACCGGGTATCTATAATACAGCCACTGACCAGCTGTCCCGCTTTCAGTTTCAGGCGTTCAGGGAGTCTCTACCAACAGCATCACCGGTAGCCACGATCGCTCCCCAACTCCAGGATCTAATCATGGACTAGAGGAATTATTACAACACAGCAAGATACTTACAAAACTCGCTCTCGCAAAAAACACACATAGTGCATACGATAGAGCTTACTACCTACACAAGAAATTCATGGCAGACCATAATCTCACAAATTGGTTTGACAATGTAACATTGGTGGCTTTTGCCACGTTTTGCCACATTAAGTTAAAAATGTCGCATAATACCACTAAACTATACCTCACGGGTATCCAACATCATTTGTTCACAGAACATCCTAACAACCAAAGGTTTCTCACCTCCTACCCCATTAAAACCCTTCTTAGGGGTATGCTCAAATCGCAAGGACCTACACCGCAACGTAGGTGGCCTATAGACATTCAACTGTTTAAACGTTTGTCAAACCTACTAGATACCACACTGTTCGAACCCCTTACTAACACCACTCTAAAAACAGCCATATACTTGGCTTTTTACAGTTTCTTACGACCCAGAGAATTTACCATTACTAGGCAACACGAGTCCAAGCATTGCCTCCGGTATTCTAACTTGTACAAAAAGCAGGACCACTACATATTAAGCTTACCGTCAACTAAGACCAGCCAGATGGGGCACGAAGTTCTTATTCAATACTACCCCACCAACAACACATGGTGCCCGGTGAAAGTTTTTAACAACTATCTACAGTCATCACCTACACGAACCTCACTCCCTCTCCTTTCACTGCACGGCACAGCACTCACTATCGCGAAATTTTTGATGTATACTCGCTTACTATTGACCAGACTCGGCTTAAACGCCGCAAACTATTCTGGGCATTCATTCCGGATAGGGGCAGCCTCCACGGCCTCAGGCCTAGACATCCTGGTTCACATCATAAAAACCTTGGGTCGCTGGAAGTCATCCGCTTACGCTGTTTACATACCACAACCAACACAAGAATTAAGACGATGCATGTCATCGTAATACGCTAACTCCATGTCTTGTATTTTCGTTAATAAATATCTTTGATAACACTATATGGGTATTCCTTTTTTGCCCTCTTATTTACAGGCCTACCACACACGTCGGTTTCGGCACACCTCTACCGACTTTTAATTATTATGATAAGTATACTCACTAGCTATTTCATACTATACTGAAATGGCCCTGAATACAAATTGGAAGGCAGGGCCTGAGGTTGTGGGAGGGGCTATATCCCTTTAAAACGGACTCCCCCTCCTACCTCATTCACCTTCTGGTCCAGATGCTCGTTTAGCCCACCCTCCTCTCCCTCTATTCAAATACTATTTAAGGTGGGCCCTCTTATTTACAGGCCTACCACACACGTAGGTTTCGGCACACCTCTACCGACTTTTAATTATTATGATAAGTATACTCACTAGCTATTTCATACTATACTGAAATGGCCCCGAATACAAATATATGTTATTAAAACGTATATAAGGTGTAGAAACAGAAAAATTGATCCCTCATAAACAAGGAGCAGATATTGCCAAAACATGCAGGCTCTGTGCATATATACTTGATGACAGCTTTTAAGAAAGCAAGACTTAAAAGAACACTATAGGGTTAGGAACACCAACATGTATTCCTGACCCTATAGTGTTAAAACCAGTGTTGAATCAATGACTCTCTATGAGGAGAGTTGAGTGTCTGCATGCAAAGGGTGGATATACTGAATGTCAGTCACACTGTGCAGCAGCACTGCCCCAAGAAGCACCTCTAGCAGCCATCTGAGGAGAGGTCAGTGGAGTTATCCTTAGGCTGTAATGTAAACACTGCTTTTTCTCTGAAATAAACAGTGTTTACTGTAAAAAGCCTGAAGGTAATGATTCTAATCACCAGAACAAACACAATAAGCTGTAGTTGTTTTGGTGACTATAGTGTCCCTTTAAGACGCAGACTTCAGATCCATTGTAAAGATAAATATATCCTTTATTACAGCAGCACATAAAACCAAACCAGTGGTGTCACCCTAGTCACCTCCAACCCTTGGTGAATAGGTAGAATTGTTCTCTAAGCCGAATTAGCCGGTGCATTACATAGAGGATAAATGAAGTTGCTTCAGGGGCTATTGGTTATTTTTATTTTTTATTCTATTCACAACAGCGTACAGACATGCTGCAATAGACACTACAGGCACTTATTCAAATGATAAATAACCTCTGACTGAGGCATTGGGCTTAAAGAAACACTCAAACCACCATAACCACTACAGCCAGCTATTGCCAGGAGTGCTTACCTGGGGTCTCCCATCGACTCCTCCTTATTTGCAAGGAGATTCTACTTGCGAGTAGTGGATGTAGGGAAGGGATAGGGACTGTACTAGGGTAGGTAGTGAGTGCAGTGGGGGATAGGAGCTGTAGTGGTGGAAGAGGTTGTTGAGGCTATGGTACGTGCAGAGAGCGTAGGAGCTGCAATGTGTGCATGGAGGGATAGGGGCTGTAGTGGTCGCAGGGGGAGTTAGGAGATGAAGCCGGTGCATGGGGGGACCGAGGCTGCAGTGGGTGCAGGGAGGGATAGGGGCTGTAGTGGGTGCATAGGGGGATAGGAACTGCAGTGGGTGCATGGGGGGATAGGAGATGCAGCGGGTGCATGGGGGGACAGAGGCTGCAGTGTAGTGGTCTCAGGGGGTGCTGAGGAAATGGTAGATGCAGGGAGGATAAGGGCTGCAGTGGGTGTCACTCGAGCAGCGCCAGCTCTACAGACTGTGAGGATACTCCATGGGGCTGGTGGCAGAGCTGGGCTGGGTGCTGTGTATTTCCAGCACCCACCAAGATCCGGCACTGGCTCTCAATAATAAGCTAAGTCCTGCCCCACCTGGCTCAGCTCAGTGCATGGAGCTTCTGGCTAGTGAGACGGTTCACTCTGGCTAGTGCTACATACTCCCAGTGGGCCCAGGTATGTTTTCAAATTGTATGAGCACCTACCCTGGGGGAGCACCAAAACATCCCTGGCACTATAACTAATAGAATGGACTGCAGTGGTTAGCAGACATCCCAAGTCTCCCAGTAGTTCTGGGAGTCTCTCGGAGTAAGTTTGAATGTGGCTCCCTGACACCCGCCAATCATATACAATATCCCTGAAATCACACACACAATGTGACATACAATGTGTGTTGGATTTCCATTATATTGCATATGATTTGCGCCCCTCTTCCCCATAATACTCACTAAACAGGGGCCAGGTCGGGTGCCGGCACTTTAAGAGCCGACTGGGCCCCTGTGATATCAGCCGGTACTAGAGAGGAAGTAACAGCCTGTCACTTGCTCTCAGCTTCACATAGAGCTGCCCGGGAGGAATCAACATGTAGGCAAATGAGAGGCATGCTTACTCCCATCAGCCTCAGCCAGCACCAGAAACCTAAACAAGCAACCCTCCTGGACACAAAGGTAAGCTAACAGGAAGGTGCCTGAAAATATATAAAGTATGACATGTATGTGTGTGTTGGAGTGTGTGTGTGTGTATCTGTGTGTATGTACCAATATGTGTCAGATTGTGTTTTTGTGTCAGTGTGTATCTGTATGTCAGTGTGTGTATCTGAGTGTGTGTCAGTGTGTATCTTAGTGTGTGTTGTATATGTGCATGTGTGTGTATCTATATCAGTGTGTGTATCTCCGTGTATGTGCCAGTGTGTGTGTCAGTGGGTATCTGGGTGTGTATGTGCCAGTGTGTGTGTTTTAATATGTGTATATGTGTGTCAGTGTGTATCTGTGTGTGTGTGTTGGTGTGTTTGTGCCTGTGTGTGCCATGGCGTGTATCTGTGTGTTTATGTCAGTATCTGCATCTGAATGTATGTGCCAGTGTGTGTTTTAATATGTGTATCTGTGTGTCGGTGTGTGTTTGTACCTGTGTGTGTACCATGGCGTGTATATGTGTGTCAAGGTGTTAATACATGTTTGGTGGCTGTGTGTGTGTGGGGGAGTGGCGCAGTAGCTGGTGAAGACACCTTCCTGAAATTAATTTTTGCATGTTGGGCTGTCTGGGTTAGGGTGCTTGGAGTGTTCATAAAAATGCCTTTTAGGCATGGCCATGGGCTGCAGTTTACAATAGTCCTCCCGATACTATAGTCCTCTCGATGCTATAGCCCAACTGATACTATACTCCTCCTGATACAATAGTCCTCCCGATGCTATAGTCCTCCCAATACTATAGTCCTTCCGATGCTATAGTCCTCCCGATACTATAATCCTGATACTATAGTTCTCCTGATACTACAGTCCTTCCAATGCTATAGTCCCAATACAATAGTCCTCCCGTTACTATAGTCCTCCCAATGCTATAGTCCTGATACTATACTCCTCCCAATGCTATAGTCACGGTGCTATAGTCCTCCCAATGCTATTGTCCTCGAAAATACTATAGTCCCGATACTATAGTTCTCACAATGTTATAGTCCCAATGCCATAGTCCTTCCGATACTATAGTCTTGATGCTATAGTCCTCCCGATGCTATAGTCCTCCCGATGCTATAGTCATTGTGATGTTATAATGTAAATGGTAGTTGGTTCAGCGCTTGGTGTGTCAATAGAATAGTGCAGGATATATTTACATATGGGCAGCAACCTAAAATAAGACGTTCCCTCACAGTGCGTCAAAGAAAGGGGAGAATCAGAGAAATAAAAGATATTAGGTCGCGCCAAAAATTATTGAAGAGTATAAAAAAACTGGTGTGAGAAAAATAAATTAATAAACTGAGAAAAAAGAGCATAAATATAAAAAGTTAAAAAGAGCAACACAAAAAGTACTTACATATACAATGGTGTAAAATAACATAAATAATGCATTGGGAACTATAGCATCAGGAGGACTAAAGCATTGGTAGGACTATAACATCGGGAGGACTATAGCATCGAGACTATAGCATCGGGAGGATTATAGCATTGAGATTATAGCATCGGGAGGACTATAGCATTAGAACTATAGCAACTGTAATGCTATAGTCCTCCCGATGCTATAGTCCTCCCGATGCTAAAGTCCTTATGCTATAGTCCTGATACCATAGTCCTCCGAATGCTATAGTCCCCCCAATGCTTTAGTCCTCCCGTTGCTATAGTTCTAATGCTATAGTTCTCCTGATGCTATAGTCCTCCCGATGCTATAGTCTTGATGCTGTAGTCCTCCCGATGCTATAGTCCTCCCGATGTTATAGTCCTCCCGATGCTATAGTCATTGTGATGTTATAATGTAAATGGTAGTTGGTTCAGCGCTTGGTGTGTCAATAGAATAGTGTAGGATATATTTACATATGGGCAGCAACCTAAAATAAGACGTTCCCTCACAGTGCGTCAAAGAAAGGGGAGAATCAGAGAAATAAAAGATATTAGGTCGTGCCAAAAATTATTGAAGAGTATAAAAAAACTGGTGTGAGAAAAATAAATAAATAAACTGAGAAAAAAGAGCATAAATATAAAAAGTAAAAAAGAGCAACACAAAAAGTACTTACATATACAATGGTGTAAAATAACATAAATAAGTCCTTAGATAAGTGTAAAATGGCAAAAATCCACTTGATGAGTTGTAAAAAGGGATAGTAGTCCAAACGAGGAAGTAGTCAGGAGTTTCTTGTTCCAAATAGCAATATGTATAATAGAACAGAAGGAGATTCCAATAGTGTAATCTGTAACTTAACATTCTTTAAATTGCTTTTACATGAATTCAAGATAATAGGGTATCCCACTCACCTATTTAAGAGCTAAGATTAGCTCAGGTTAATTTCGCATTCAGTGGTATAGATCCCCCACTGATAGGATATAGGCTTGTGCACGTGGAGAAAATCCTCGAGGAAAGTGGAGAATAACACAAAATAGTGCTCACTGTATAACTAAATGAGACATAGATAGAAAAGTATATAGGATACTCACATTTAAGTGAGCAGGAGAATACTGCTCACTAATATAGCGTATTGTGCCCAAGAATCCTAGGTGGGGATTATACCACCCACGCTATATTATACCACCCACGCTATATTTTGTGTTATTCTCCACTTTCCTCAAGGATTTTCTCCACGTGCACAAGCCTATATCCTATCAGTGGGGGATCTATACCACTGAATGCGAAATTAACCTGAGCTAATCTTAGCTCTTAAATAGGTGAGTGGGATACCCTATTATCTTGAATTCACGTAAAAGCAATTTAAAGAATTTTAAGTTACAGATTACACTATTGGAATCTCCTTCTGTTCTATTTTACATATCGCTATTTGGAACAAGAAACTCCTGACTACTTCCTCGTTTGGACTACTATCCCTTTTTACAACTCATCAAGTGGATTTTACCATTTTACACTTATCTAAGGACTTATTTATGTTATTTTACACCATTGTATATGTAAGTACTTTTTGTGTTGCTCTTTTTTACTTTTTATATTTATGCTCTTTTTTCTCAGTTTATTTATTTATTTTTCTCACACCAGTTTTTTTATACTCTTCAATAATTTTTGGCGCGACCTAATATCTTTTATTTTATTGTGATGTTATAGTCCTCCTGATGCTATAGTCCTCCTGATGTTAAAGTACTCCCAATACTATAGTCCTCCCAATACTATAGTCCTCGTGATGTTATAGTCCTCCTGATGCTATAGTCCTCCTGATGGTAAAGTCCTCCTGATGATATAGTCCTTCTGATGGTATAGTCCTCCTGATGCTATAGTCCTCCTGATATTATAGTCCTCCCGATGCTATAGTCCTCCCGATGCTATAGTCCTCCTGATATTATAGTCCTCTTGATGGTATAGTCCTCCTGATGCTATAGTCCTCCCGATGCTATAATCCTCCTGATGCTATAGTCCTCCTGATATTATAGACCTCCTGATGGTATAGTCCTCCTGATGCTATAGTCCTCCTGATATTATAGTCCTCCCGATGCTATAGTCCTCCTCCTGATGTTATAGTCCTCCCGATGGTATAGTCCTCATGATGCTATAGTCCTCCTGATGTTATAGTCCTTGTGATGCTATAGTCCTTGTGATGTTATATTCCTCGTGATGCTAAAGTCCTCGTGATGCTATAGTCCTCCTGATGGTATAGTTCTCCTGATGCTATAGTCCTCCTGATGCTATAGTCCTCCTGATGGTATAGTCCTCCTGATGCTATAGTCCTCCTGATGTTATAGTCCTTGTGATGCTATAGTCCTTGTGATGTTACATTCCTTGTGATGCTATAGTCCTCCTGATGCTATAGTCCTCCTGATGGTATAGTCCTCCTGATGCTATAGTCCTTGTGATGCTATAGTCCTTGTGATGTTATATTCCGTGTGATGCTATAGTCCTCCTGATGCTATAGTCCTCCTGATGTTATAGTCCTCCTGATGTTATAGTCCTTGTGACGGTATAGTCCTCCTGATGCTATAGTCCTCCTGATGTTATAGTCCTCCTGATGGTATAGTCCTCCTGATGTTATAGTCCTCTTGATGTTATAGTCCTTGTGATGGTATAGTCCTCCTGATGCTATTGTCCTCCTGATGCTATAGTCCTCCTGATGGTATAGTCCTCCTGATGTTATAGTCCTCTTGATGTTATAGTCCTTGTGATGCTATAGTCCTCCTGATGGTATAGTCCTCCTGATGGTATAGTCCTCCTGATACTATAGTCCTCCTGATGGTATAGTCCTCCTGATATTATAGTCCTTGTGATGTTATAGTCCTTGTGATGTTATAGTCCTCCTGATGCTATAGTCCTCCTGATGTTATAGTCCTTGTGATGCTATAGTCCTTGTGATGTTATATTCCTTGTGATGCTATAGTCCTCCTGATGCTATAGTCCTCCTGATGGTATAGTCCTCCTGATGCTATAGTCCTCCTGATGGTATAGTCCTCCTGATGTTATAGTCCTTGTGATGCTATAGTCCTTGTGATGTTATATTCCGTGTGATGCTATAGTCCTCCTGATGTTATAGTCCTCCTGATGTTATAGTCCTTGTGATGGTATAGTCCTCCTGATGCTATAGTCCTCCTGATGTTATAGTCCTCCTGATGTTATAGTCCTTGTGATGGTATAGTCCTCCTGATGCTATAGTCCTGCTGATATTATAGTCCTCCTGATATTATAGTCCTCCTGATGTTATAGTCCTCCTGATGTTATAGTCCTCTTGATGTTATAGTCCTTGTGATGTTATAGTCCTCCTGATGGTATAGTCCTCCTGATACTATAGTCCTCCTGATACTATAGTCCTCCTGATGGTATAGTCCTCCTGATATTATAGTCCTTGTGATGTTATAGTCCTTGTGATGTTATAGTCCTCCTGATGCTATAGTCCTCTTGATGCTATAGTCCTCCTGATGTTATAGTCCTCTTGATGTTATAGTCCTCTTGATGCTATAGTCCTCCTGATGCTATAGTCCTCCTGATGTTATGGTCCTCCTGATGCTATAGTCCTCCTGATGGTATAGTCCTCCTGATGTTATAGTCCTCCTGATGGTATAGTTCTCCTGATGCTATAGTTCTCCTGATGGTATAGTCCTCCTGATGTTATAGTCCTCCTGATGGTATAGTTCTCCTGATGCTATAGTTCTCCTGATGGTATAGTCCTCCTGATATTATAGTCCTTGTGATGTTATAGTCCTCCTGATGTTATAGTCCTCCTGATGCTATAGTCCTCCTGATGCTATAGTCCTCTTGATGCTATAGTCCTCCTGATGTTATAGTCCTCTTGATGCTATAGTCCTCTTGATGCTATAGTCCTCCTGATGTTATGGTCCTCCTGATGCTATAGTCCTCCTGATGGTATAGTCCTCCTGATGTTATAGTTCTCCTGATGCTATAGTTCTCCTGATGTTATAGTCCTCCTGATATTATAGTCCTCCTGATATTATAGTCCTTGTGATGTTATAGTCCTCTTGATGTTATAGTCCTCCTGATGTTATAGTCCTCCCTACACCTGGTGACTGAGCCACTCTGCTGTGTAGGAAAGACCATTACTGACTGCCAGGCCTGCTTTATCCACCAATCAGTTGACTGTATTGATCAGATCCCCTGCATTACTAACATTGATAGAATACATTCTACCTGTGCCCATAACAAACATGGCGGATACCACTTCTAGGAGTAGGGAACGAGTTCCAAACACACCGCACGCAGCCTCCCGTGCCCCAGAGTGGGCGGCGGGTTTTTGTCTCTATGGTTTAGCGCTCTGTGTCAGCCGAGTGACGTGTCTGGGAGGAGGGTGTGAGCAGACTGCGCCAAGGGGGAGGGGTGTGAGAGCAGCGCGAGTCACGTGCCCGGCCTGTCAGGTGATTGGTGGAAGGCGGTCAGCTGACTGGGTTCCCGGTGTTGGTGTGAGCTCCCCCCGTGTGTCGGTGTCAGTTGGAAAGGTCCGAGCACAGAGCGGCCACAGCGGCTCCTTCTCCCGTCAGACACCATGAACGGCCATGTCATGCTCTACTCCGGGGCCACCCTGGCCTTCTGGGCCACCCTCATCATCGTGGGTAAGCTACCGTGCGGGCTCTCACCCCAGGGGCCCATCTTAGGGGCCACACAGCTAATATTACATCCCAGGGGCCCATCCTAGGGGCCACACAGCTAGTATTACATCCCAGGGGCCACACAGCTATCATTACACCCCAGGGGCCCATCCTAGGGGCCACACAGCTATCACTACATCCCAGGGGCCCATCACAGGGACCACACAGCTATCATTACACCCCAGGGGCCACACAGCTAATATTACACCCCAGGGGCCACACAGCTATCATTACACCCCAGGGGCCCATCACACAGGGGCCACACAGCTATCATTACATTCCAGGGGCCACACAGCTATCATTACATTCCAGGGGCCACACAGCTATCATTACATCCCAGGGGCCACACAGCTATCATTACATCCCAGGGGCCACACAGCTATCGGCATTACATTCCAGGAGCCACACAGCTATCGTACATTCCAGGGCCACACAGCTATCATTATTACATTCAGGGCCACACAGCTATCATTACATTCCAGGGCCACGCTCATTACATTCCAGGGCCACACAGCTATCATTACATTCAGGAGCCACACAGCTATCATTACATTCAAGGGAGCCACACAGCTATCATTATTATTACATTCCAGGGGAATACACAGCCTATCATTACATTCAGGGCCACCACAGCTATCATTACATCCCAGGGGCCACACAGCCCCTATCATTATTCCATCCCAGGGGCCACACAGCTATCATTTATTTACATCCCGGGGGCCACACAGCTAATATTACACCCAGGGGCCCATCCTAGGGGCCACCTGGCTAATAATACACCCCAGGGCCCATTCAGGAGCCACACATCCCAATATTACATCCCAGGGGCCACACAGCTAGCATTACATCCCAGGGGCCCATTCCAGGGGCCACACAGCTAGCATTACATCCCAGGGGCCCATTCCAGGGGCCACACAGCTAGCATTACATCCCAGGGGCCCATTCCAGGGGCCACACAGCTAGCATTACATCCCAGGGGCCCATTCCAGGGGCCACACAGCTAGCATTATATCCCAGGGGCCCATTCCAGGGGCCACACAGCTAGCATTACATCCCAGGGGCCCATTCCAGGGGCCACACAGCTAATATTACATCCCAGTGGCCCATCCCAGGGGCCACACAGCTAGCATTACATCCCAGTGGCCCATCCCAGGGGCCACACAGCTAGCATTACACCCCAGGGGCCCATCCCAGGGGCCACACAGCTATCATTACATCCCAGGGGCCACACAGCTATCATTACATCCCAGGGGCCACACAGCTATCCTGCCCTGCTCTATGGGGACATGCTGTTCTTGGGGCCCATACACAGTCCAGTGTAGGAACGATACAGCTGCCCCATCCCTGGGGACACATGGACCAAGGGAGCTTACCATATTCCAGGAGACAAGCAGGTGCCCTTGTATGGGCTTCATGCCTATTATGTTGGGGTCCCAGAGCATTTAGATGAAATGTCAGTCTTGTAGTGACTTGGGGTCACATAGCCATTTCTAGTGGCCACTGGCTATATTACAAGATCATTGCTTGAACCTTCTGTGTGTACTTATTATTATTATTATTATTATTATTATTATTATTATTATTATTATATATCGCCAACAAATTCTGTAGCACTTTACAATGGGTGGACTTACAAACATGTAATTGTAACAAGACAAGTTTGACGCACAGGAACAGAGGGGTTGAGGGCCCTGCACAATGAGCTTACATGGTACAGGGAGTGGGGTAAAGTGACACAAAAGGTAAGGATAGTATGATGGAAGTAGTTTGGTAGAATAGTATTAACTGAAGACTTAGTGTGGGGTTTTTTGGAGCCATTACCAGTTTAATTGATATGCTTTTGTGAAAAAGTTAGTTTTTAATGATCTTTGAAGGAGTGGAGAATGGGTGAGCATCTTTATCTTGAGCAAATGGTAGTTTATAGGATGTCCAGAGTAATATTGCATGATAACTTCATTCATTTCATGTATACTTTACAATTACTGAGAAAAGTCATTTGGTTTCTCTTCAGCAATCAGGTAAATCACAAACCGAAATACTCTTCAATACAGACTAGATGGGCTGAATGGTTCTTATCTGCCGTCACATTCTATGTTTCATTTTATGCTTTTATTTATTAATGTCGAATAACGAAGATTAAGAAGTCAAAAGAATCAACACAACAGCAATAAATAGTCCCATGTAATACCCCCAAATTACTATATATTGATTTATTTAATGGATGAGCTAAGTGTACATTCTGTTATCTTTACAAAAAAAAGCTCGAGTTTGGACGTGTGCATTTTGGGGAAGTTATTCGTTTTTAAAAAGCAGAAGTACATGTTGGTGGATACTGTGTTCTTGAACATATACAATGAACAATGCTGTATTTAAATTTAAACTTGCTCTCGGCAACCACTACTGAAAGACCCGTTCCTAGATAAGGTCTTGGCTCATTTTCTGTGTTTCTTTGTCATATGGAAAGTCCAACTACTATAATCATGGGTTGGCTGATATGTAGTAGTAATTGACCGAATACAGTTCTGAGTGTTTTAAATCCATGCAAGCTTTCTGGCAGTGACTTCAGCACCTCCTGCTTTTATTCATAACCTAACTTAGGCCTTGATTTATTAAGTTTTCCAAATTATTCAATACTGTTAGAACAAAAATGTTCCAAATTATTTATCTACAAATGTTCCCTTAGACTTTAATGGTGATGTTTGTCGATAAATCATTTTCAATGTTTTTCTAACAATATTGTATCGTGTGACCTGTTCCGCCCTAGCGTGACCTCCATTTTACCTGTATATATGTAAATTATGGGTCCGTTTTATATATCATCAAAGTCTGTACATTGCAGAGCAGTTTAAATAATTGGGTTTACTGTGTATCAGATCAAGGAAGGGTTTGCACTTTTTTAATTGGCGAAGACATTTCCAAACTTAATTGCCATCAGTTTTCACTCCTAAACATACACTATAATATCTTCTTTGAAGTGGAAAATATAAAAATTGTTCGGATTGTTGTCTGTGCTGGTTTGTCTGTGTATAAACACACACACTGTTGTCAGTGCTGTCTTGTTTTGAGTAAACAGATCCTGCTTTTTGAATCGCAGAAACTAGCAAAGTCTGGTTCTTTTGTACCTTCATTTATCATTGACCCTCACTTTGCCTTACATTTCAGTATATTAATGGTTTGATTAAAAAGTGTCCTTTTATAAATAACCGGTTCAGGTTGCACACGTTCTTTAGAAACCAAAACTATTTGTGCGTGTTCTTTCATTATTTCAGTTTCCTTAATGTGGTCATTAAACGCTCACATTTTTAGTCATGTTTTAAAAATAAATAAAGTTATGCATCCAGTCCAGAAAAAATATAGCAGTTGCTTCATTAAGACATAACTGGAACTTAAAAGAGTCAGTCTAAGCAACATAACAGCATTGCATGGTTGAAAGGTTGTGGTGCAAAGTAAATCTTACACCCAGTCTCTGTGCCGTGAGTGACATATCATTGCAGTGTGTTTTGTTTTTGACTTTAATTAAAAAAAAAAAATGTATATTATTTAAATCCCGCCCTAGGTCAGGCACAGTAGATGGAGAGATCTCACTTCCTACTTTATGATGTCCATTATATCCGACTTCTGTGTGCACCGTATAAAAGCCGTACACACAAGTGGGTAGCATATCCCTCATCTTCGGACAGCCCACGCTGGCCACGCACACTCGGTTGGTGGCTCTGCCATTTACTGCGCACTCTGATTCACAAAACCTTTTTGGTCAGGATGTGTTTGTCTTTTAAACGTGGATGTGTTCAGATCTCATCCTGTTGAAAGAATCTTTTTAAGCACTGGGAACGTTTTTATTGAAGTTAAATATTTCCATGTACATATATTTGTAATATTTTTTTTTTTTTTAGTTTTCAGTTGATTTAACTTGTTTTAGGGAAATGATTTCTGGTGTAGATCGATTGCCATACATTTGGAGATAATCACTTATTGCACAATTGTAATTCTAAGAAACCATAACATTTCCTCTATTGTGTTCTTTAAAGACTGTAAATGCTGTTATGGGCTTGGAGCTTACAGATACCATAAATTTAGTCTGAAATTATTGTTTGTGCCAGGATCTACCCAACCATAACATTACTGCTTGTTCCTCCTGTAGAAAGCATGCCATGC